AATTTAACATCTAGTATCGAATTTACACAGATTTAAAATAAGAAAAATACCAAATTATAAGGAAAGACTTCTAAATAAACAAATAACGTGAACTAACATAAAATTTCTACACTTTATAAAGAAAATAAAGTTATTAGATTATTTCAAAATAACTTCCTTACGTATATGACTAGTGATATGACTAGAGATCCTTTCCACTTCAAGAGTTTGATAAAACCTCCAAATATTATATAATCATTAATAATTTTAAAGTAACGGTAGCAGTTGCTATTTGCACTATTTGACTCAATGAAGCAATCCTGAAAGCATCATGTAAGATTGACGGAAGGTGTAACCTTTGATTTGTTTCGTCGTTTTGGAACTGGTTTCTTTCCCTCACCAGACTCCGGTTTTGGGGGTAGGGGACGGGACAGCGGGGGTAGGTGCATAGGTTCTGGAGGCAGGGGTTTGTGGTCATGGTCCCCCTCAAACACTACATTATCATGACATTTAGCCAACTTTTCAAACTGGTGATTGGCATAAACGGTTGTTTCTTTTTTTTTATTTTTAGACTTTCGACTTCGTTTCTTTTTAACAGATTTTTTTGGCTTTGGGGAAGGAAATGGTTTACGCTGATATTGTAAATTGGGTGAATCCGATACCAACTCCCTTGCAGTTGCAGGTGTGTCTAAACTAACCAAAGAGCTTCTTCTTTCATTAGAATCGTATTCCGCAGACAGTAGTTTTGTTTTCTTGTGGCTATCATGGAACACCTGATCACCATTACACCCATTGGCTCCTTCCACATCGGTAGACACAGTTACAGATGTGCTTGTCCTATTAATACCATTTCCATTATCTTCAATGTTCTCTGGGTTATGTCCCCTCCAATAGGCCCCTATTTCTGCCTTGTTGTTGAGATAGTTCACTTCTTCATGCAGCTGTAGGTCAACAGGGTGAGTTGTATCTCCCGCACTGCAACACAAGGTTAAATTGACATCAAACTACGAATGTGAATTTAAGCAAAGGCTCTTTGAGCCAGCTGAGTAAAATTCAGCCAGCCACGCAAATATATCTATTATGATATCTAAGATACCGCTACCTTGTGTCTTGACCTTGAATCCATTAACTCAACCAGATTTTTAATTTCTACCCATTGGTGTGCATGTTGTATTCTCATCTTGTATCATTGTCAATTAGACATTTCTTCACTGCAGTGACGATGAACTGTTTGGACTAATTGATGACATCTAACATCTCATTTCGAAACAAAAGAGTAGTGAACAAGCATACTGAGTATTGCTGAAGCCACAGAAATCTATTGCACTGGTTCCCCTAACCGCCCCCGGAAGCTATTGCACTGGTTCCTCTACCCGCTCCCGAAAGCTTTTGCACTGCAATGACATTTACGTTTTCTAACAGTGACCTTGACCCGACAACCCTGAAACTCAAATATGTTTAAACTATTATTTCGTGCTTAAAACGTGTGTGAAGTGTGATGAGAATTTCTCAAGGAATGAAACCGTTAGAGCGCTGACAATGATTTTTAAAAAAAGTGACCTTGACTTAAAACCCTGAAACTAGCAATGGTCCAAGATATTTTTTTTGTGTAGTATGTTAAGTTTGATGAGAATTCATCAAGGAACGAAGCTACTAGAGCGCTGACAAACTTTCAAAGACGCAGGGACGGGCGGACGGACGGACGAACAGGAAAAACTCTCCGGAAGGGGACCAATTTGTTTATAGTCTTCTTCACACAGAATACACGCTGGCCTACTTGGTGAATACTCAACTCTTGTATGTAATATGTAAACTTTATACAAAAATTACGCAATCACTTTTTCTGTAGCGAGTCTGGCTTTCGAATTTACATATATGTTCGGAAAATCTTCAAAGTGTATGGAAAAATCATTTGCTAGTCAAATGCAGTCTCGCTATGAAATGTATATAAATGGAAACAATAGCAGAAATAGCTATATTAAATTTTGTATTTCGTCACATTGGCTAATTCGACGAAATGGTTTGATGAGCTATGATAATTTGATAAAACTGTTTGATGAAGTATGATAATTCGGTAATATTTTTGATGAACTGTGGTAATTCGATTATATGGATTGATGAACATCAGCGCGTCCCTTCACTAGATCCGATTCAATGTTGACTGTTAAGAACCAGAAAATACCTATCTTTTGTAACAGTAACCATTGGCAAACTTTTACATAAGTTGCCTCCCTTCACTCATCGGCATATCTAACCTGGAGAAGGCACACAATATATGATTTTCATGTTTGCATACCAATATATCTAACTGAAGGCAGATACTGTGTGTTACAATGAATAATTAAACTCCTCGGGATGCGAACTTGTAACCTTGGACCTTTTGAATATAAAGCAAGTATTATATCAATATGAGGAACATACTATACTTGTCCATGCCTATAGATGAAATACATGTAATATCAATATATATAGCAAACTACGATATAAAATGTATTTAACATTTATCATTTACATTGATGCCCTATTAAATACATACATATAAGATGGCCATACAAGAATTTCGCGTAACAGGCTCGGCTATCCCGTATTGTTACTATGGTAACATACGCAAATTTATCTCCAAAATCAGAAATTAACAAGTTAATTCTGAAAAAAAAACTATATAGAAGTACCATCAATGTATTGTTTTCATGTTTAAAAATTGGAACATTGTAAAACCTGAAAGGAAGATTCCCAAAATCCTCAATTCTGAAAACTGACTCGACTTTTGATATTTTATCGCAAATACATAATCTTTTCAATAAGAGATGAAACTTGTCCTATCTAATAAGTACTTGTTTCCATATGAATAAACAACAAGATAAACTAGATCTGAAATGAATTGAACATGTCATTCAGACTAGTCATATCTCAAAAGCTTTCTCCCAGAAAATGACACACACGCATCGAAATAAACTGACTGATAATGTGGTCTGACCACACATGGACACTGTACAATGTTTTCACTGGCGTCTAGAGTTGTCTCCCTTCCCTTTCATTTATGTTGAATTTTATCAAATTACTGGAGATGAGTTCAGTCCAATAAAAATCAATATTACCAGTATATACTATTGATCGTTTAAATAAGACATCTACGTCATTTCTTTATGTGTGTTGCAAAATGCCTCTTGATCATTGAATCAATGCTGTAAGTAATGTAAATATCTACTTTATTCATTAAAAAATGCTGATGTTTTCCAAAACGTAAAAACGCCGTGGAGTTAGACATTAAGTTAAAATACAGTGGTTTTAGTTTATAAATACTTAATACTTGTTAGCTTCTAATAATAATAATAATGATCCTGTGCGTACAATATAGGGCGAAGGTATCAAAATAGATTATCAACATTATATAATTATAGACCCATTTTCATGCGGTCTCGGACAAATTCACCCCGGGTTAGAAAAGACAATCCTCGAATGTATTCCCCATAAAACAAATGAATAATTATTTCACGATATGACGATGATCCGTGTTTCTGATTGGTTGAAAATTGAAGCACAAGTTACAGGATTAATAGAATCAGTTTTGAGTCACCCAATGGTGTTTTCGAATATTATACTCTCATCGCGTGTTTTTTTTTTAATTATTATTTTATTAATTGTTTTAATCGCGAAATATTTCCATACAAGGGAAATGTTTTGACTAATCGCCACATAAAGAAAAGTGAAAATCATATCATAAATCACATTAACCTTATCAGAGACGTATATATGTGTTATATATGTCTCTGATCTTATATATATATACATATAGATTATCTTTTTATCACGAGTATTTTCAATTTCTAATCTTGTAATTAATTGATTACAAGATCTAAAATATATTCTTGACACCAAAATGTTGCCAACACAACAAACTATATTTCTCACAATCATCAATGCACAGACTCGTCTCTATCGCATTCCTAGCCATGTGCAGCAGTTACCTCCCTTCCTCCATCTATGTCATGCAACTCTGTAGACGTGATGTCAATGGTAGGTGGTCATATCACAACCAAATCATTGATATTTTGCCTTTAGGGTTACCACAGAAAACCTGACTGATGCAACTCCACAAAAACAAATTTAACCAGTCTTTCTATTCAGCAATCTCTGTTTTTATCATGACCTTTTTTTAATTAACATTCTATACATTATAATCTATTTTGATCTATCAAAATATTTACATTTCTAACCTCATGTTTTTTTACTTTAACAACATTTAAACATATCATTGTAAGTACAAAGTGCTCCAGTTCTCATTGTTTAACACGGAATGAAAAATAAAAAGACGATAATAGTTTTTGTTAAAAAATTTTATATTAAGTAGATAAACATATAAATACATGTATATATAAAAATAAGACATTTTATTAAAATGTATCAATGGTATTAGTTACTTTGGTTTCAAGATTAATGACCAGCAGATACTTACAGCTACAAGGCCAGAGTGATAGCCTGACAAAAAGAAAAAAAAATAAAAATAAAACAAATGCTGTCTTCTCTTATCAAATATCTTAGATTTATAAATAATGCAATACTACCTCAAAATTTGCTATTGTTTTTGTGAAGAAAATCCCAACAAAAATGATTTTGCTCATAGCCCACTGCAGATTTGCAGATTCCATGTAAGCAGTCAGGTTACCCTGATAACAATTTCAATAATGAATGACTCATGTAACAAAAATGAAACTGGCCACCATATCAGCATTCTGATCCTGCTTGATAAGTGGCATAACTAAAATCCTTGTCCATAAAGTTTCTAGGTTTGTCCAAAAACAAGTTTCAAATATCACAATAATCAGTGGCTGCCATCTGGAAGTGCCATCTTGAAGATCTAGTCAAACTAAACATAGAGCATAAACACCTCAACCATCTTCCTATACTTCATCAATTTTTTTTTGAGAAATACTTTCAAAATAAAATGATACAAGTTTTTGTATTTATTTAACGGAAAATTAAACACTGAGCTAAAAATAAATAATTTTATGAAAGCATGGAACTAACCTGTAAATATTAACCAACCAGTGAAATTTTAAGTTTCTTACTTAAAGAGAAAGCATTACTAAAGAATACATATTCATCAAAAGTGATACATAAAATAAATAGCATGGATTAAGTTAAATAAAATACTTACAAATTGCATTGACCCATTATGTCAATGTTGATACTGTATCAGTATATACATTAGTTACAGTGATGAACCTCTTTAGTCCCTTCTAAGAACTGGGAACGAACACAATAAGATATGAGGGCAATAAGCAGAACAATGGGCTATTTCTTATATGTGATCCTATGCTCAATAAGCACTAAAAAAACTCCATTATGCAAACATATATAAATAGTGCACTTGATGATTAAAAATTCATCACATGAAGCAACTACTAAATAACACCTCTCAAAAACTCTCAGATCAAAGGAAAAAAACAGTAGACATTCCAAACAAAAGTCAAATAAACATACAAGGTCTATTATTGCAACTTGAGAATAAACGAAGCTATATTTAGTAGTCACTCTCTCTGTATTTGTTATGCAATTGGCCATTATAACCATCAAAAAATCTGAAGTGTCCATTATCATCCAAAAAAAATTGCAGAGGAGTGTGATTTTTGTCTGAAAGAACTTCAGTTATCAAAGTGATTGACATTGTCATGAATTACAAGTCACGTAATAATGTGGAGACATAATGGATGTCATATAATAACAAGTGCAAACGGTGAAATCATTAACCTGATTAATAACCACGGAGGTAAGCTCATGTGATATTTGTGACATTAGATTAGGTCTCAACATGGTATTGCTCTATCCCATTATGTGATACTATTTATAAATGATCACCTCGAACTTGCACAATGATTATGCTAACAACTGTACAGTTTTTAATGCATGTACCATCATACAATTATAGCTTGATTTCAATGTACAATAATAATTGTTAATTATATTATCTCCAAATGACAATACAATATCCGATTGCCAATAAAGTGAAACATATTTGAATACTGCTTTTCATGAATGACAAATGTGGACGTTCATAATCAGAAATTAACTCAAGATCAATTAAAAACTGAAGTTTTATATGGATCGGGATTAAGCATGAAATCCTTTTACACCGTTTCTTCAGTTTGATTTCTCACAGAAAATATCTTGATCCCCAAAAAGATGAAAAATTATTCTTAATTTTAATTTCAGTAAGAGACATTAAACAATAATTTGTAGGATTTCATAAAACTATTTAAAGATAATTTTGGTCACCAATACCAATAAAAATATAGAAAATGTATGCAATTCAAAAATTATTGAACAAATTCTCCAAATCTGACCGCAGGTCTGACTTGCGACTGTCTATGGTACTACTGGTCCTGTTACTATCACTGTTACTGTTGCCAAGACTCGTAACTACCGACTCATCAGCATTGTCCAAGGCTTCTAGCCCATTTTTATAATCGGTACTATCATCAGCACCACCACACACTTGTATGCCATTCTCTATGGCGACTCCATCACTAAGTAACAGGTCCCCTATGCTATGACCACACTTCTGTTCCATATCCTGAGAGTCAGGAGAAACTTCATCCACAGAAGATTCATTATGTAGAATGTTGGAATTTTCATTTGTAAATTTTGGGGTGCTTGATTCTCTTATGTCAGTTCCTTCAGCTACTAAATTATCATGGGAAAACACATTATCTACTTTTGGTTGTGGTTCATTATGGTTAAAGGTATTGAGTGAACTGCTACTTTTGATGTCCGTAATAAATGGAATCTCAATGTTATTAGATTTTGACTGACTCTGGTCCTTATCACTTTCATTAACTTCCATTTCACTAACACATGCCTCTTCTGCACCTATAGTGTTGGAAACATCCTGTTCCCTTTGATCCGACCCGGTACTTTGCTGGGGGCTATTTTGTTCATCAGCACTATTAGTGTGTTTTGTGAGGTGTTGTGCCATGTACTCTGCCTTCCCATTGTCTTTGGTGAAGCTTACATTAACCACAGCCAACGAACCATCATCTGAATCTGGACACAAATCATCCTGTTTAACAAGCTGTTCTTTACTTTTTGCTGTACCTAAAGTATGAAATGTTTGTAAATTCTCCTCAGAGGCAACTCCGGAATCAGATGTTGTATCATGGTCTTGTCTTTCTTGATTTTTTACATCTGTTATTGATATGGAAACACTATCCTCTGTATCAATTTCGCTTCCATTTGTTTTCACTTCAATACCAACTATTGCTTCTGCTTGTGCTTCCTCCGGTGCCTTAGCGTTACCTCCTTTGTCTGCACTGTCACATCCAACTACCAGGAACATATCATGGTAACTAAGGTTTGTGTTATTGCCTTGCTTTGTTGAACTGTTTGATAAATAATGATGACACACAAAAACAATTAAAGTGAAAAACATATCAACTTCAAATGGTTAATGAGTTATGCTTGAAGGCGTATAGTTAGAAATACAAAATTATATATTAAAATACATCAAACATCAATTAAATTCTATAAACTTTATCATATTAATTTGGGGTGTCAATTTGGACCATTCTGGTCCTATTAAGAAATGAACCTTATATATTGCACAAAGATATTTTATGGTCTGCTGATTAGAATGGACTTTGTTTTATTGTGTTCTAAGCATCAGATTTTGTGTAGATTCTTAGAAACTTTTGGGTCAAAACAGGGGAGGAGGGATGCATTTTAAATTTCATGATGTTAAGAGTAATTTTTGTTCTCTGCTAAATATGTTTTATAACTATATTTGAAAAAAAAAAAAGATATGAAAAGCTGATTAAATTGATGGCTGATCCTTCATATTCCCCTAAGGTTCCTCTGTTTAGAAGGTCAGTCAGCAATTTGCACAGTATATATTATCACCTCCACCTGCCTAGGATAACTTCTACAATATCTAAAGACGATACCCAGACATGGGAGGAGTCACAGACACGGAAAACCTGTCAATCAATCAACTACAACATCTATCAACAACAGAAAAGAAATATCCCAGAAAGCTTAGTAAGATTTATAATGCACTATGTGTCTGGTTATTTGTGCTTTGACCAGGCTCTCCAGGGTCAGGTAGTGCCAGCAATCTGCCAAGTTTATATCATGATTTCTATATGATGTAATCATTTTTGTCAAAATATTTCAATATCGATTTAAAATAATTCTAAAGCTATTTGATATGAAAAAAATCATGTGACTCTGACCTATCTTATCAGTTTTTGACATTTTTTAAAACTTAATTTAAAATTAAGAAGGTATATTCAGCAGGAATCACAAAATTGTATTTTTCAATCTAACGTGAAGTTTGTAAAACATTGCCCAAATTGACACCCATTCTTTTGATATTACAATAAATTTACTCATTAGCTACTAAAATTATTTGACTTGTTAACATTTCTCTTTTCCTATGTTGACTTTAAATGTTAAGAATGAATATGAACGATGCATTACAAGGTGACAATTTTTTTCCAGATATTGGTGACAGAGATTAGTCATGCTGATGACAGGCACGCATGCATCATACCACAACTGTTCAGGGCACATGCCACTGATACACTGTAATGTATAACTTCACATCAATCTTTACATAACACGTTTTTAACATATATTACGCCAGACTTTTACTGTTCATCTCATTTTTTCCACTTTCATCTTTAACCTCAACCTCCCTTATCATTCATTTTAAGACTACGTCGGGTCAACTGATAAGGCCTCTAAATGAATGTGGAGTTAACAGAAGTCTTCTCTCTTCATTTAAAGGTTTTTATTTGAATCAAAATACTTCCAAAAGCTTTTTTTAGAAGAAAATTCAATGAATTTGAAGCAAAATATAAAAACAGTATAACAAAAATATTTCTCAGTGAGATAAGTTTAGCAGAGAGATGAAAGTCGATCCCCTTCTGTAGAATACCACAGGAATGTATAAACAGTTCACAACACATAAAGATTATCACCTGTCCTGTGTGTAGATATATACCAACCCTGATTACATCATGCTGGTATCGTATTTACTCAGAAATCTTCCGGTTCTGACTTCTGTAGTTACCTAACAGCGTAAGTAATTTACGTTACATGTTCAGTATTATATCAGAATTGACAAATGACAGAACCTGGACATATAATAATGGATTCTAGTGTCCTTGAAAAATAGGATATCATCTGTGTATTACAAATCAATCTAGAATGTTCATATTCAGGAGAAAATAACAAAGTTGATGACATATTATATGTTGAAAATGTAGTTTTGTGACCATCTGTGCATATGTTAAATTGTCATCAGACTCATTTCGGGATGTTTCAAATTACAAAACCGAAATAAATAAATTGATATTTTAACAAACTTAACAGTAAATCATTTCATTATCTGAACTAGGACTTACTTAAATGTACACCATGGTCATCAGATAGAAAAGCACAGTGTACTGTGTAAGGATGTGCATAAACCATTCACAATGGGAATTCATCATGTGAAATCAGGTTTCAAAGATTTCCCTTACCAGTATGGAATAGGTTGCTGACCTGAAAGGGTTATATATCTGTCCTCCAGGAGCGGAAAGAGATCCTGACCCACTTAAAAAATCAAACCTATTTTCATATTCTCTCTTACTTCTCCAACACAACACCATTAATCCCTATAGAGATTTTTATGTATAACATGACATGGATATCACTTTATTAGATGGAAATCTGGCAATGATCAACATTAAAGAGTTCACTGAGAAAATTAGAGAGAATGTACTAGTTCTGATGGGTTCAATCACAGTCTGAAACAAAATATAATAATATTTTATGGCTTGGTATATAAGCAGTCAAAGACTGAATATGTACCCACGTAATGGTGAGGTAAAGGACTGTTTTACAATTTCCCGCTACAAGTGCAACCATCCCTTTTTCAGGAAAAATGTTGACTCTAAGGCAGTTGAAAAGATTGCATAGGTGGATATATTGTATGAAGGTTGGTTAGTTTTTATATATCTATGTGGGAAGCATTAAGAAACATGAAAGAAAATCCAATTTACTTCTTACATAAGTTCATTACCAGTTAAACATGCTTTTACAGTTTTATCATAGCCAGTTATAAAGTGTCAAAGATAATCAGAATCCACTTGAATCGCTAATAATTAAACTTAATCTTACTAACTGTGTAATTAGTAGTTAAAGCCTGCCTAGTCGTATTTTTCTCCTTCTTCTACATATGTAGGATACATGTACATGTCTGTTATGGATGGAACCTCTCAGTGCCATTTTTTACTATTGTGGCATCACAAAAAGATGATTACCGTATGTCATATCGTGAGCAAACGAAATCACTATCACACAGAAATGTAACAAAGAAACTGATGATCTGTGGAATCCAAATATGACATTTGCTCATGCAAAAGATTTTATGTTCAATATTGCATTTGCATGATCAAAATTGGGTTTAGCAAACATTTGAGTAAAAGTAGAAAAATAGTCAACCATATCGGTAATTTGGATAATGGATATTCTACCTCCGGGTGAAGACACACATGCCACATACCTATACATGGTTGATTCTTTTTAGGATGTGAAGAGACGTAGATATGTATATCAGAAAGGAGACATGCTCTCTACAGGAAAGTCTACTTTTCAACAGCTCACTGCCTGATATATGTATAGGTATTAGAACACTACTGGGTACCCAAAAATGTCTTGTATAATGACTGACTCTTCAAAAATGTTTGCAGATAAAAAGATAAGTTCCTGCTGATTTTTCAGACATAAAAAGATATAAAGTAAAGTGAATTTTAATGGTAAAATACAACGTAAGCCACCAATTTCACTCTGTCACTTTTAATCAAACTATAAACTATTGAAACACATAAATTCTGATATTAACAGGTTTTATAAGAAACAATGAATCACCCGTTAGCTTATGAGCAATCAGCTGATGGCATATTGAAACAGATCAGATGCAATGTGATAATATACTATAATATTAAGCATTCTTTAATGTACTTAACTGAAATTACCAAAACAAAAAACACTGAGCAAGAACCATCTGAAAGGTGTGTTATAAATATAAAAGTATTTTTAGAAAGGAAAATGTATTTAATGTCTAACATAGATGTAAATAGAATTATGTTACAGCCAGGGTTTATAAGTCATTCTTGTTACACATGCTGGACAGACATCACTAAAGTTGTATTATCAAGAAACAGTCTTGTTAACTAAAGAGCTGAAATAGGATTTACCTCTTTCTAATGACAATTCTTTCTAAATCAGTAAACATATGAAAACTAAAAGAGAGAAAGAGAAATAAATAAAATAAACAATAAATTAATTAAATACATGTACTCATACAAGTAATAGGATAGAATTGTGGATATAGAAACAACATGTCAGACATATTGTTTTGTATGTACAATATTTGGCATGACATGAATAACTCACCGCTGAACTAAATCAAAATAAAAGTTGCACCACATTTTAACACATCTCATTTCTCAAATATTTTTGATGTAACAAAAAAGCAATAAAGATATCACATCATATTATATGATGATCAATTTGATATACAAATAATGATTTTCTGAAATCTATGATTTATAGGAAAATACATAAATGGCAAATGGTATATATTGAAGCTAACAAGCAATTAAAAGGTTTGTGTTATAGCCCAAGTATGATAGTAGTTGAAAGGAGTTTAGGTAATATCTTACAAAAATTTTAAAAATGTATGTAGAAGAGGTCTATGACAATATTTAATTCATAGAAAGTTAAAGGCTCGTTTACAATATCCCCCCCTTTTTAAGTATAATTTACCAGTATATTTCGTAAAGCTTCTGTCCCAGTAGCATAAGAAAAAGGTGATATGTTAATAATATGATGTTGATGAAATCGTCCCCTGTGTCTGTATTCATATTTCAGAGAGGATCACCCCTAACCCATAGTGTTAGTTCCAATCTAAACCAAAATATTATTTCCAAGGCAACAGCATTAGTTTTTAATCAAAATCTGAATTTGAACACTCAATTTGATTTAGAAGAGTCACTCATTTCATATTGGATCCTGACCTTAAAGTGAATATAATGTGTACCTGTGTAAAAACATAAGTGAACTAATGTGATTTTATCATCATCACCACATCGTTCCTGGTGAAGACTCCATGTGGCTTAGCTTTACTTTTATGTGCTGCTTTCATCAGAACTTGGATCGTCAGAATGATGCAGACCACTTGAGATTAATTAGCACATGCATCACACCCTAAAAGGTGCATCCTGTCCATATCACATTAAGTTCATCCTTACCAATACAGTGCAATCAGAAGCACTTCTACTACATCTGGAGGATGTCCCTTATTATTATAGATAGGGCAGAGCAGTCTAAATGATGCCCTAGCTCACAAAATTGCTCCAGTTTCCACTTTTTTCAAGGTTTTCTCTTAAACTTTTATTTTCCTATGTAAATCAATTTAAAAATGACATACCTTCAACCCATATTTATAACTCCCCCTGATATTCAACCTAAGATTAGCATCTGATCACATATTTCTTTTATAGGTAACAGCTTTTAATTGCATACAAGCTTTGTAAACAATAAACCTTTTTATAACAATTGTGAAACAAGTTATATGTGTAAAATTGAAGTTGAGAGTACAGGTTGCCTTTCTAGTCTCTGCTAGTGGAAATTTCCCTTTAGTCAAGCAGTAGAGTCTCCAACTAGAGACTTGAGTTCCAACCCTGCCCAGGTGGTGTTTTTCATTACTTCTTTCTATTACAGATTTGGTGCTAATGAGCAATCCAAGAGTGGAAACTATAGGATATTGGGAGAGATACTTCCTTGAAGATGTTGAACCTAGGTTGTTGTAATTTTCGCGGTTGAAGACTTTGTGAGAGAGAGAGTAGTGTTAAAGTTGAGAGTACACATCGCTTACAAGCCTAAGTTAGTGGGAACTTCCCTTAGCTGAGTGGTAAAGTGTCAGGCTACAGACTGAAGGATCGCTAGTTCAAACCCCAGCAGTAGCAGGGTGTTTTTCATTGCTCCTTCCTATTACACATGTATTGGTTTATTTATCATTCACTTCTATGAGCTTGAGGGATGTAACTGGGAAAAACCCATACCTTTGTCTGACTGGAAATTAAACCTGTCCCCTACTGGTAAATGGTGTGTCACTCAGCCACTAAATCTTGCACCCTTATTTGTATGAACTGGACTATAAAAGCATCACATAGTATTACATATTTAGCATAAGCAATCCCTATATTAGAAATGGAAACATTGACCTCACTTAAAAGCCATGATTCTGGAGGTAAAGTGTAAGAACTGTACTTAATTAGCAAGAGTAGGAGACTTAAATAAGGATCTTTATCTCTTTTCTCCCTAAAATGCCTTAATCTTGCATTAGGCCTAATTGTTGACTGCCTGCCAACGACGAAGGTTATGGGCCCTAACCCATGACTGAGATATGCTGCTTGACTTCCTGCTCTGAACATTTAATATATAAGGACTGGTAGAGTCTGTTCACATTGTTCTTGATTGACCCTATCATTATTGGAAACCATTTTCAAAAGAAGATGGTTGAAGTGAAGAGGTATGCATCACAAGGAGTGCAAAATCATATTTTAGACTATGCCATTTATCTTAAGACCACATTCACAGCTGTAGTGTGATTATAAAGCTTACAGAGATTTAATCTTCGTAGCTTTAATTAAAAGTAGCTTATTTGCATCATTTATCTAGAACTGCTTCACAAATGAAGCTTAAAGATAATAACATTATTATACAGGTTTCAAAGTATAGGGTTGACACCAGTTTGTTTTGCTTCCTTTCTAGGGTTTTCCTTTTCTTCTGAACTCATAGTATGAAAATCAAATACATGTATATATCAAACATGAATGGCTGATATTACCCAGCAGTAGTATTATCTGTAAGCATAGTTGAATCTAGTGATTGCTAACTTTTATTTTCATAAAAAAACAAGATATCAAGAAATGTTATCGCGATGTGTTCATGACTGGACAAAAAAAAAAAATACAATATATCAAATACAGGTGTGAGGGAATAAGCCCTATTAAAATTTGTAATTACCATCTATCATTAAATATTTACCTGTGATCCCAACATATAATATTTGAAGAAGAACTTCAAACATCATGAACTGTTACTTTTATGACAGTTAAATAAGATTGATTGAATAATTTTGATTGTTCATCCCAATAATCCATTCTGCAGCTGATGGGAAACTACTACCTTATTCACTAATCATCTGAAAGTGTATTGCTAATGTGAATAATTTCAAGAGTTCTTCTAATGAATAGAAATAAGTATTGTATATACATATGTAGTTTTATCAGCATGTTCAGTTCATGTATGTTGTCTCTCTGATAACATTAAACCCAGTAAAATGAAACCTAGAAACTTTGTGATGTTGACATTTAAAAAATCATTGGTAATACTGAGGTGAAGTTTATGTGTATGTCAAAGAAATGATAGGAATAGAAAGCTTGAGTGGACTTATAAGAGAAAGTGCTGTAAGTGAAATCAGTTTTCAAGAGATCAATAATATTTCTGAAAATCAAAAACAAATGCCAGAAATAATATTTAACTTTACCATGACTTTACAAGCACCTGATTTCATTATAAAACACCTAATTTCTCTCTCGTGCTTGTTTGGATCAAACTATATAAAAAATGTCAACGTCATAATGGTCAGTTGTTTAAGTTACAGGTTCAAACTAATACATATATTCTAATACACTACATATGAAATGTTGGATAACTCACCTTTTGGCGTGATGACAGGTTTTGTAGACGATGAAGACGATGGCGATGATGATGACGAGCGAGCCAACAATGGCCACAGGGATGACCCAATCAATGGATGTTTCCCCATCTGTAATTAGGAGAACAAGGTTCATTGATAAATTAAGAAGTCATTTTTTAAAAAGAAATTTCATTTTGAAATTACATGTTTGATGAAATCCTTAATTATTTTCAAATAAGTACTGTAATTTCTTGCGTATTGCTAGCAAGTTATACCATTTCAGACATAAAGAAATGCCTTCTGTGGGATATCTGGTAAAGCAGGCTATATGATGAAATTATTTCCAAAACTACAGAAAAATGTGTGCTAAATGATATCTATGTTATGGGAGAACCTTGAATATTACTGAGAAATAGCAAGTAAAACGGGCTACAATGTATAAACAGAAATATTTAATTATCAAATACTTGGTTGCAATTTCATACACTAATTTTGTTTAAGACAAAATTGTGTAGCATGATATGTATAAGCATTAACTACTTAAAACATTTTTACTTTAAGTTACAGGTATGTAACTTTTGCATTTGACATTCAGCCAAAATATCCTTAACAAATATGAAAATTCTAAAATTTCTGACATTGATTAAATTTAAAAGCAAAACCCATATTTTTTCCTGGTTTCTTTCCACGATGACAATTAATTTTCAAAGACAAATGACATTTGTCCATATGAAAAGGTTTCACTTAGTAACAGCCATATATAAATTATTGAGTATATCATCCCCATCAAAAATGCAATTGAGCTAATTATATAGATTAATAAGTTATGATCTTATGATGTTCACTATGAAAATCAAGTAATTTCAGGAAATCACTTGATATTTCATATTCTAGCTGTTTAATACCCTCAAGCGAAATTGTTAGAAAGTCTACATTGTACTACAGCTAAACATTAAGCAACATTCAACAGTATTAGTATAATTAGTGTAATCAGTAATTAGCTGGTGTACACTGATAACCTGATGTTTGCCGGAGGCATCAGTGAGACCATTGTTCACAACACTAAGGTACATTGTTTAATAGCTCAGCAGTATGTGTATTGGCTACAACAAAACAACAAAACGACATACCAGACATTTATGTTGATATGAAAGCTGACATCTATAAAAGCTTGAAACGTGATGCAGCAGTAGATTATTAACTGCATTTGAAACATGGTTTCAGATTAAACATAGCAAAAAGTCACACTAATCGCTCTCCAATGACATGCAAGGATAATACAGGTAGCTTTTTCACCAGGTACTGCAAGTCATCATCAGTACAATTCAAATATCTTCTTTAGGTTTCTTAACTTCACCATAATAACATACATGTATCTATATAGTAAGAGGAAACAGAAATGCAACTGTAACTTGAATATTGGACCATCAGTTTTCAAGATTTCTGAGATTTTTAACAAATGCAGACTTCATTAGGCCGTCCTTAATTAGAGTACCCTAATGTACACAGTTGAAATAAAAGCAGTTGTCACACCAATCCCTTATACTGTGTGTGCCCTCTCCGATCAGCTAGAGTGTCTCTAATTATGCATGGCATGGAGTTCATAAGGACATCCACTGTCCATAGAGGAATGTTATTCCATTCCTTGGTAAGTCTGTTGGCCGATTGGCAGAGGGTTATGGGATATTTGCTCGATAAGGAACTCTTTTGTTTAAATCATGCAACAAGTGTTTGACTGGGGACAAATCGTAGCTATATGGAAGCCAATCTGGGAACAGGGGTGCTGATCCTCTCCTTAAGCCAGTCATTCGAACAGACAAATGTCATCGTGGGGGTTCATTTGTCTAAGTTGGCTACCGCAATGACTCTGTATTCCGAAGCATCCATGTCCCATTGGGGAGCTTACCTTGACAGACATGCCCAGTCAAGGGAGAGGCCAAGGAGCTCAACTCACAGAGCAAGTCAATATGCTCAAGATGAGAGCTGTTTTTGTGGTTTTGTGGCAAAATCATCCAACAGACTATTGAAAAACCTATGGAAACTAACTACGACCCTGAGTTTATGGAAGAGCTTATCAAAAGAAGTCACAAAGGCCTTCCAAAGAAGTTTAATTTCACTTTTTCATTGAAACATCAAAGGCAACAACTATTAAATATTCACAAGGCTATTCCAGAATACATGCAACTCAAACTCAACAAAGATAACTGAACTGATAATCCATTCAAACAATTGCAATTGGAATCATTGCTAGTCAAATCCCCATGTCTGGTGTTGTCACCCCAAACCTTCTAAATGAGGGAATAGACAAAAAAAGAACTTAACATAAGACAAGTTGGATTCCATCCCTCTCATCATGCACATTTCAAGGAATATGTCATCTTCTAATCAAGTATCATCTTTCAAAATTGAACATAAGATAACACTCTGCATTTAAATGGAAAACTACTTGAATTTTAAAATCTGTTAAAGCAAAGAAATGACGCTACCTTGTACTGATTAATTTCAGTTATCGGGATAAGATGGAGGTGGGATTCAATGCCAAAGAGGTGTCTTTCAGAGAGTATGTACATTTGTATTTTAAGCCTTTTAAATCATAACCAAAACAGCTTCTCTGAATCATGACCATTGTTTGTGTAAACCATTAACAGAAGAGAAAATACAGGTACACTGAAAGACTTAATTACAACCTTAACTATTCACATCTTTATCAATTATAATGACCCGTTCAAAAACCAAATAAAAACCACTTGTTTTCTAACATGAAGATGGTTCTGCTAGCCATATAATTAACATTCAGACCTGGTTGGCCAGATACTGAGGCTATGATAGAAATAATCAAGGCAGACATTCCAATTATAACACAATCAACAATGAAATCATTTGTGGAATGTTGTCTGACAGAAGCTGTGTAGCATGGTTACAGGTAAGACACAGAGGAAAAGAATCTACCAGAAGATCAATACACCCCAAATCATTTACCACCCACAAAAAAATCACAGGTTTTCTTTCCTACAGTAATCTAGATCAGGCACATCTTTTAATTCTGTTTCTATTCATTGCTGCCAATTTCCATAGGCATAACGATTGGCACTTGGCAAAAACTTTAGCTAGCCTAAATTAAAGGCTGATGAGGGTGACCTACTGATCTGAGTAAACAAATGCCTGCTGCTTTCACTGTAAATGAGGTCAAAGAAAGAGTTAATGTTATATATGTAACACCCAAACAGTTTCCAGATATGAAAAAAGAAATTTTCAAATGATGAAAAAATGCCAAAAACTTCTAAATCTGAAATAGAACAGGAATCGTGCAACATGCAGCGAAAGAAATTGGTACTTAATTCTAAATATACCTTATAAACATGCTTTGAAATCATTAAAAACACCCATTACCAGCCAACACAAACAGATATCAATCACTGGATCAACTATGAGCTATCATGATATACCAGTCACCTATCAAATACATTGATATTCAGATAAATATTATTTATAGATTCTATGTGATATCGTGACCAACATTTGTAAAAACGTGACTACAAAATATTGCATACAAACGATAACAATGCATCATGATAGCATGTAACTAGTGTGAACCTGGTATTGATCATCCAGTCGTGTGTAAATAAACAACAACAAACAAACACAATCTTATATCATCTAATGAAACTGTTTGACCTGAGATGACGGTGCCTGGCCTGACGTCTATTGTGACATTGGTCACTGTCTCTGTAAGAGTATGAGTTACTGTGTGATACACACTGGTTGTCTCCCCCTGTGTCGTGGTTATAGCCTTCGTGGTGACAGCTATATGATATAGATGAAAACAGAAGAAAAGTATAAAGACATGCTCATATATAAATCATCACTATGATTTCTGAATATATTGATGGAGAAACATATGTAAATCAGATATATGACTTTTGATTATATTGAAGTGTTGTCCATATAAAATAATGTATACAAACCAATGTGTGCATCAACAATGCTGTAGGTTGATACTAATTCTTTTGCACATTTCAGGTTTTTGAGATTTACAAATTATCAAAACTGTACATAATACAGTTATATATGTAATGTGATATAAAAAACCAAACATTATAGCCCTGATGATATATTATTTACATAAATCATCTTAATTCTTCTTAATTCCACAAAAATTATGTTATCAAAACTAATGAAAATAGTGTTCTGAATCAAAGTGAGGTAACTCTAAAATGTAAATACTTATCAAAAACATATTTCAAAATCTCCAAAAACATTTTGGTTTTAATTTTGTTTGTACTTATATATAGTAAGATAGATAGATTATTTTGTATTATCATCCGAACCTGAATCACAAAAGATACATACCAAGATGAAGAAATTAGCATGCATACGTTTATGGTATTTACATTGTATTTAAAAGACTTTCAGTAAGTGATATTTGTAGATTAAATGTGGGAAGGTCATTTAAAACTGTGATAGAAGAAAAGAAAATGTGACCTGGTGTATAAAGTAATATGTTGTCCTACACATGCTAGCAGAAATGTTCTGAGGTGATAAGTATAGAAAGATATTGATGGAAAGAACCGCATCAGCACTGACCATTTCATAAAAAGGAATTATACTTCCGATTATTTGAAAGGGCACAAGGTACCAGAATTTCTAAAGAATATTTTCAAAAAAGCTTTAAAAGAATTGAAAAATTGCATACAGAGATAATTGTATACTTGTCACACATGGAAAAGAGGTAATTGAATCTATCACAGAAATTAATCTTGCCACCAAGAATGTTGATGATCAAGAGGTACTGAAGATATCAGAAATGATCCCATATCCACAACTATTTTATCTTCATCACTAAGACAGCTGCAGAGAGTATATATAACACTTTAATCCAGATAACTATATCCCAGCCACACCGTGCTGCTAATTAACCATATGGAGTCAACCACTTTCACAGGAATGGCTTTGGGTTGTAGAGTACACTTTTTAAGTACAGTGGACAGGTCTAGATCACATACAATGTACAGTGTATAACATAATTATAGTTATATAAATGTACCTTAAACTTCATACTTATATCATTGTACCTTTATAGAATATATATATAAATCTAATGGACATCTGATGATGTAGATACAAAGGTTAATATTAAAATGTTAGAATATTATTAATATAAAGGCAGTGAAGAGGATTGGCTATATATCTGTAAGTCACCGCAAGGTAGGGCCACTTACCAGCAACTTTTGATATATAGGTGGAATTATCTACAAAAAAAACACACTAAAATGTCTTTACTCGCTATCAAAATCCATTCCCTGAATGCAGTGTTAATGGACCTTCCTTAAATACACATGATCTGAAGACCTCATTTCAATTAACTCTTTTATCCACCTACATATGTTAAATAAGTTCATTGTATGCCTATACCTGTTGTGTATAAGATTATTTAAAAAAAAAAACCATTATCTATATTTTTTTTTAATTCACATTTTTTTCTTTTTTTATCTGCAATTCTACAGAGTAACATGCATTTATCATGTGTATTGTCTATCATTTAGAGCTACAAGTTAGGTTCATTGTATCCAGTTCTATGATAGTAAAAGCAGTATTTCATCTGTTAATGTCCACATGTTATATTATACCTATTAAACTATAAGATTTTTAATTATCAATGTGAACGACTCTTACATCTGATTATATGAAAAAAAGAAAAATGCTTTATTGGTAATCTGAACTATTATGGATACATGTATTAAGCAATTAGTGATAACATATTACAAGTACCTACATTATCATGAACTATTCATGTGAAATGTTTATGTGTGTAGTAGTGTCATTATTTGGCAATACTGCTTTTAACATATTTGTAGTATTTTAGCTATTTGCGTTTGTATGTAACGGAAATCAGCCAATCGTAAATATATGTGGCGCATTGTGGCAAAACTTTTAGCGCAAATACGTGAGAATGCGAGTGAGATACTGAGCGGATGTGATGAAATGTGTGGTAAACCTGTTTGTCCAGTACGTATTATCTATGTATATTAAGCAAGTGTTGAATGTTGGGAAGTTTACCTGGCACACTGGTCACTTTTTATCAGAATGCCCAGGGCTACAATGTCGAAGTATGATAATAGCCAGCCTAGCGGCTATGAGAGATAGCGGCACTAGCGCCTAAAAAATGTCAACGTAAGTACTATGTGTCAAATATTAGCGTAATTTAATATAGTATCTATCTAATAATATATTTGATTAAAGGCATATTTTTGTTTAAAAGTAAAGTTGATATTTTGGAAGCGTGTTCCTTCAAATATCAGGCGTGGTCAATTTAGTAGACAGGCGGGTCTGTAGAAGCATAGTTTTTAATGTGTGTATTGTTTTATTTATAGTGTGTACTTGAACGAGTCAGTCTGAGGGCTTGGCAGACTTAGTTCCGAGAAAACCCTCTTCACACTGAAGAGTTAGGCATTTTCAACATATGTCGTATAATTGTTAACTGTTATTTCTATATAATTTATAGATTGATTTTACAGTTGTAATGTATATATATATATACATATATAATATATATTCAGTATTGTAAACTAATGTAACTGACTACGGTCAGAGTGATGTTTTATCTTATCGTATGATTGTGTGAATGTATTGGAGTAATGTGATATATTTCATGTTACAGGTTTTTTAAAATTTTATTAGAAATAAATCTATGAAGCTAAAGAACCCAGGAGTTGTTTTGATGAGGTCAAAGACAACTAATACATGTGTATGCATGAAAACATTCTATATCTTAACTGGGCAGTAATGGGCGTTGAAGTCTGAATGTTATGATGTCATTTACTTGTTACCTAAAACAACCACATGTAGCTTGTTTCAATTGGAAAACTAAAATTAGCCTGTCCTGAAAGTGTGTTTAAAGCCTTAGAGTATTCCCTTGAATTAAAATGATTCAAGTTACCACTGCACAATCTCAACCATACTAAAATCCACCACAATTAAGCCCCCACGCCCATAGTCTTGAAACCTGTTGATAAACATATACATATCCCCTACATTTTAATGGTATTTAATACATGCTGTGGAAAAAGCAAGATTTGTTTATGTATGATACACCCTTAACTGTAATTAAAAATTTAACCATTTGATACAATTTTTCTGTGTTTGTGCCATAATTTGTTTTCATATTTCATGCTATCATTACAAACAAGTTTTAATTGCAACCAAAAAAAGTATGATCATTAACTTAAGAAGCTACAGAAATAAAAATAAAAGAAGATATTTTTTAATCTTGCTTTGGCTTCTGGCACCCGTGACACCAGACAGAGAAAAGTTCCAGATGTTGATTCTCCATATACTACAGGATTGATACAGTTAAGGTTTCCCATCCCATGCTTTACTGACTACAACAGCTTCCATATGGAACTTACTCAAATATTCTTTTATATTTTCTAACATGTTTTATTTATATAATGTCATACTAACAACATAACATAGGTACTGTTTCTTACACAAAATGTAATGCTGATGGGATCAAAGTTCAAGGAAAGAATATTTTTGACTCCAGGCAATGGAAAGAAAAGCACAGCAACCTCTGACAGATAAGCTAAAAGGACTTAACAACAAAGGCGAGCAAAACATCAAACCTCTACATGTCTACAGAGCAACAAATTAACCACCATGTTAAGGTGGTAATTTCTTCATTATATAGGCATGAATGAAGTATGATTTATGAACTATTGACATTTTATATGGGTCTCGATCCAGTGAAAATTTGAACAACTGTCATACTATGACATTTTTGTTTCCACTATAAAAAAAATCACCTGCTGCCTTTAAATCGTAACTAATTTCTCTAAAGATAGCATAAAATTTTTCTTTTCAGCTCTATCATATTCAAAATTTCAAATCCTGGGTTCAAAATAATTACCATATGGAATATGCTTTTGAGAGCATATACAAAGTAACAGTTTGAACATCTACTATGAAGTCAAACCAGGTTATATTAAATCCTCAAGGAATGAAAAAAGACTTCAAATCAACTGGCTTTCAAATCAACTGGTATAAGCTTTTTCTAGCACCCAGACCTATCAAACGTTAATGATGAAACAAAGCATATATATAGTTCTTTCTACAATTTAATTTCATTAGAAACAGCTTAGTAGTCTATCTACAGCTTGAATAAGTTAATATTTTTCATCATTTGTCAGTTGTTTACATTTCTTGCTGAACGAAGACATTGTAAAACATCTGTCGCTGTCTTCTCCATACAAAGTTAAACTAACCAAAATTTATTCAAATAACAAACACATTTCATTGATTGATACTCATAATTTATTTATATTGAATCATATTTTTACCTTGACGTGATGACAATGCTTACGGGCGCCGGGGATGGCCTTCAAATTAAGTGATGTTAAAACAAGTATTGACCTTTCAATGTGGGATTTCAAATTAACCAATTTCAAATTAAACGAGGTGAACATACTTAGACAAAGAAGACAGTTTGACAGAGATTATTTTCTATTTCAAATTAACCAGTTTTTCAATATAATCAGATCAAATTAAGTGGGTTCTATTGTATTTAGTATGAGTGGTTAAATTTTTTGTAAAACATGAAACTACTATTAGTAGTTCAATTCAAATTAATTTGCTTGCATTTACCTGTTTATCTATAAATCTATGATAAAATGAACCTATTTTAAAGATGAGCAGCCTTAACATGAGAATCAATGTTGGAGAAGGCAGCAGATGTTTTTGAGATAACAGGTGCCCTCAGAGTCAAGGCATCTGGTGATGGCAGCTTTCATCATTCAGTGTATTGGAGGCCTCCACTACTCCAGACTGACAAAGTGTAACTCAATCATTCTATTACAACACAAAACTACATGTATGTCCATTGTGCTGGTAATTGTTATGTCTATCAATCACTCTGCTCCTCATTATCTAATGTCTCTCATCTGTGATTTCTCAGGTGCTCATTGTATGATACACCAACAATTCAACACCATCAACAATTTTCACTTACAGTAACCATAACAAACAAGTCAAACATTTAGTTGTGATACACAAGAGTTCTAAATCAATTGATCCTTTGTTGAAATATTGAAATAAAGATGCATTTTAAAACTTTAAAACAGATGTTAACATCATAAAGAATATTTTATAAATTGTGTTTTTGCACCCTAATATTATTGGACAATTTCTTTTTATAAATTTCTCTCTTTATCAACATTAACTTAGGTGAAAAAATTATGTTGATGTAAATATGAAAGAATTTTCACAAGATCATGAGAAAATCTACTATCTCTCTATCTCTTTACTTGCATTACAGGGGTAAATTTACTGTCTTCCAAGCTAAACTTGGTATCAGTGTGAACTTGATGATGTTTTCTGATTTTTACCCCTGAAATTGGAGTGAGGCTGTTTAACTTACCTGTTCTTTCTGTTGAATCTCTAAATAAACATCTTTCTGCAAACAAAATAAAACATAAAGATAAATTTAACAAGTTTTTCATAATGGGAAATGAACGATTGCTTCTTAAGATCAGAGGCCCAATGGGTCTGAACGTTCATTTGACTATAAAGACATATATATCATAGATAGGCCTGAATTGCTCACTTGTTCAACACCTTACACTGAAGACTTTGTCACAAGACTTTGTCAAAGTTAATAAAGACAATATCTATGAACTAGAAATCTATTCCTCAAACATCCTACTACACAAATACCATGATCCAGGTCCTATTGCTTGTTAAAAGAAAAAAATTAATGTTCTTAACACATTTAACCCCAGTGACCTTGAAAGTGAATCAACATCAATCTTTTGAATCACTTTGGTAGCCCTTCATGCAATTATGTTACAGACCTAATATCAATAGCTTTGACCTTATGGTTGATTAGAAGAAGTCATTTGAAGATTTTATCATGTTAGACCAAATGTGCCTTTTAATTGAAAGCAGGTCAACATCAAACATGGTAGCACTCTATCTCAGAATGCTAAAAAGCAAACATCAGCATTCTGGGTTTCACCATTGTGACCTTCAAGGCAGGTCAAGGTCATTCTTCTTAACAAACTTGGTAGCCCTTCATCCCAGCATGCTACAGGTTCAATATCAGCATCCTGGGCTTTTTGATTATTGAGAATCAGTCATTTAAAGATTTCAAAACATTTGACCCATTGTTTAAACAAACTTGGTAGGCCTATAACCAAGTATGCTTTGTCCTGATGTAAACACACTGGGCCTTTTGGTTACTAAGTAGAAGTTGTTTGAAGAGTTTAACATATTTGATCCCTCAAACCTTGAAAAAGGGTCAAGATTTTTAATTTTAACAAACTTGATTGCACTTCATCCCTGCATGCCACAGGCCAAATATCAACAAATTGGGCCTTTTGGTTACATTGAGAAGTCTTTTGAAGATTTTAACACATTTGTCCCCAGGGGTCTGGAAAAGTATTTTAAACCACTAAGCACAGGACTAGTGGGCTGAAAAATTTACTCATCCGGATTAGAAATTTACTCGTCCAAATTCAGCTATGAAATGGCGACTGAATCAGTGAGGATGTGACATGTGACTTTTTTTCTATCTTTATTTGAAATTTATTTGAATTAGGCCTAGCTGTAGTGTTTGTTTACATACAACTGACTAGATGCTGCTAAATACAGACTGGAACATGTTGGTACTGCACGAGAGCCCCTGACATCAGTGTGATCGTGGGAAAATGACTAAGGTATTCCGAATGCTATATTTAACATCATGGGAGTTCCGGTGTAATCAAAAGTTAGAGTGCAGATTGGAATATTTCGTTTTCAAAGTATCGTAAACACGTTTCTTTGTTTTAAATTTTCTTTACATTTTCATTGAAATTTAAGTTGTAACATTAATATCATTGGAAAAAAGTACTCGTCCAACGGACAACTGACAAAGATAAATCTGGTTGTCCGAGACAATTTTCACTCGTCCATGACGACCGGACGAGTGCTTTTCCGGACCCCTGGTCCCATATGACTTTAAAACCGGTAAAAGTCATTCATTTGAACAAACATAGATCTCATCCCAGCATGCTACATATTCAATATCATCCTGGGTATTTTCCTTTTTTTAAACTGAGAAGAACTCATTAAAAGTGTTTTACACATTTGACCCCTATGAAAATGAAAATCGATCAAGATCATCAATTTGAATACACCTAATAGGCGTGCATCCAAGCATACTACAGGCCAAATATCAGTACCCTGGTCTTTTAGCTATTGAGAAGTTGTTATAATATAGTAACACATTTTACTCCTTTGACCTTGAAAATGGATCAAGGCCATTCATTTAAATAAACCAGGCAGCAATTCATCCTGGCATGCTATTGGCCAAATATCAACATCCTGGCCCATTTGGTTATTGAGAAGAAGGTGTTGATAGGTCAGCATCCCAGCATGCAAAGGGCCCAAATTCTTCACCCAGGGTCTTTTCTTATTGTAGAACTTGTGTGAAGATTTTAACACATTGGACCCCTATAACCTTGAAAGTGGGTCAAGGGCTTTTTTTTACACACTTGATAGCACTTCATCCTAGCATGCTACAAGCTAAATATCAACATTCTGGGTCTTTTGGGTTTTTTTTTTGACCACTGTGACTTGAAAGTGAAAAAAAAAAACAAACAAACTTGGTTTCCCTTCAACCCAGCATGCTACAGGCCCAAATAACATCAGCATCCTGGGGTTTGTGGATATTGAGAAAAAGATGTTTAAAAGTTTGACCCTTGTGATCTTGAAAGTAGGCTATAGTCATTCATTCTTACTCACTTGATAGCCTTTCATCTTAGCATCTGGCCCAATATAATAACCCTGGGTCTTTTGGTAATTAAGGGAAAGATGTTTGAACTGAAAGTGCATGGTGCATGGGGCAAGCATTTACAAGGCACATAGAACACAAAGATTAACTATGGCTATAGGTTATCCTGATACTTCAAGTAAGATGACCTAAAAGCCCTTTAGTTTATTGAACATGACAAGTGATAAGTTACCTCTACCCATCGTCCAACCCTAAAGAGAAGTACACTTATATCCTACTGTTGGTAGGGGACGCATTATTGTGACATCTGTGACCATAGAACAACTGTGTTCTTGGAGGTCAAAATCTGTAATGTGGCATTAGTTATTCACCATCAATAGTAAGATATATTTTTACTTCAATTTATAAAACAAGATGGTTATCATGTCGTTATGAATAATAAATGGCCAATTCAATCAATAGATGTGTTTTTGTGACTCTTGAACACTGAACAAGCTGACAGAATGCCTGGATGTGCTGGTAATAAGCAGCTATGCATCATAACCATATATATGCTGTATTTTCTGGCCTATAAGCTGCATCTCTTTTCTTCATAAGTCGGGCGTGCAGCTTATACGTGTACGAAATCAAAAAATCTGTCTGCAGAATGGGGAAAAAAATGAAGTACCAATACAGTACGAAACAGTGATATATTCCCTGACTTCAGTGGTTTCTTCACAACAGTTTATGCAAGAAAGCATAGTGGATGTTTCCAGTAGACTATTGCATCCTGGAATCAATAGGTCGAGGCCTCTGATGTGGGCAACAAAAAAACTTCTACATGTGTAAACTATTTTTAAGACTGTTCAAAGTATATTTCATGTATTTTTCGAGAACCAATAGGAAGCCGTGAATGGCCCTGAGAATGACCAACTGATGAAAATTAATGGAAAAATCCTCTATGGACCCCATCATGCCCGCTTACACACTGATATGCTTTGTGTCATGAGGTGTAGAGGTCAAATTGTAGAATAGCTGCCATATTTGTTTATGATGTCCGCAGCTTTGATGCAACTAACAAAAATGTATTACAGGATTATAGAAACTTTATCAACAAGCAATAGCCTTTGTTAATATTTAACAGTTCAGACACTGGTGGTGAGTTTGTAATATTGTACAAGAAATAGCCTTTGTTAATTATCTAACAGTTCAGACACCGGTGGAGAAATTGTAATATTGTTTGTATGCTTGGCCCTACCTGTGCGTTGGCAATCATTGAAGGCCCCAAACAAGTTCAATATTTTATGTTTTTTAAATGACCAGCATTATTTTAAAATACATCCATAAAATAGAGAATTCTTTATGCAAAATTTATCAGTAAACTTTATTTAATGTTACACTGACCACCTTGATGAACTGCCTCCCATTATTTGTTACCGATATATCAAATGTCAACAACAGTGATCATCATATCATAAGAAAAGTTGCAGCTTAAAGTTGGATGAACTGGTGAAAATCGCTAAAATCCCGTCCTGCGGCTTATACTTGGGTATGGTTTATAGGTCGGAAAATATGGTATACATACATATATATTTATATAACTACCTTATGTCCCTGAGGCACAAGATTAGTGGAACTGTCATAACATTTACGAGGTTTCAGTAAAAGTACAGATTTTATGTCACCTTACTGAAGTCTTTAACTTTGAGCAGTCGAGTGTCCATCTTAAGAGCAAGAGGTACCTCACGTGCCCCAAATGGGCTAGCATATTTTTAATTGCTTCCTCCTACTATAAATTTGGTGCTGTTGACCACTACATGGGTAAAAACTCTAGGACAATGAAATTCTTCCTTGGAACTTAAAAAAAGTTTTTTCCAATTGTTGTTGAGACAACAGGGTAGAAAGTACTGGTTATTTTTGGATCATTTTACAAGCCTCAGACGATAGGAATTCCCTTTAACTGATCTGTAAGGCATGAGCAAGGAAGCTGATTCGAGTACCAGCAGAAGTAGGATATTTTTCTTAAGTCTTTCCTTATACACATAACCAGTACATTCTTAGCTACAATAACACTCAAGACTGAATTGCTACACATTATTTCCACTTAAGTATACCTAGCCTTCGAGTATGGTGTAGTATGAAATATATAGGCATTGTACTGTCTTACTTGAATGTGAATACAGTATCTTAAAATGAGGTACCAGTCATATTTCATTTTCAAATAAGTTAGCTGCAATTGTCACTACAGCAGTCAACTCACAATAATATCAATACATAACTGTTGCTTAGAATGACGTTACCCTTGATGTACATGTATTGGGGTCTTGCCCCCTTAATTACATAAGTACACAGTGGAAGTTTATTTAGAACTTCATGAAAAGAATTGTATGAAGTGGAAACTAATACAACTTCCTTCTAGACTATAATACACATAATTGAAATGTTGTTTTAAGATCAAAGAGCATGATGGCTGATTACCGTAATTTACCGAGCAAGTTTTCTATTTATATAGATCTTTAGGCATATTGAGAGAGGATTTCTGACAGGTCGTTACAGTTCATTTAAGGGCATGGTGCTGGTAGGTGCCCTCTGCTTCTAGCCTCCCCGTGAGGTATAAACCAGACATTAAATGAGGCCCAAATCTTTAAATCTGACAGTCCAATTACATTTTACCCCTAACCTTGCTTTACATATAGCTTCAACATAGCTGTCATAGCTGGAGATCTCTGCATTTGGATCAGCTTAGCCTCTGATCCATCTGACCAACTGAAAACATCAGTAAAATTAACACCAGAATCACTGAAGGTAAAGGCCATAACATGTATATTCATAGCCTAAGTCAGAGTACCAGATCTGAAGTTTAATCTGTACCATCAGGCATAATTTGGGTCAGATATGTGTAGAATGACCTCATGCCATTCTGGTACTAAAATAATTACAGAGAGTTCAGTTCTCTGCTGTATATATGTAAGTACTGGAATTAGTTGCCCAAAATTTACCTATAGTTTCAAAATGTATAGATATCACAGAAATTTCCAGTCCATGCAAGATTCATGAAACTTATCTGTACACATTTCTTAAAGTGTCTTCATTACAGTTATATCCATTAGTCAAGCTAGAAATATGATCAAATTTCAAAATTCTCATAGATTTAAAAAGGAACTTAAGATGTACATTAGAACAATCAAACTTAATTAAGCATTTAGTGCGTAAATGAATATTCTTGATTGTGAAGACTAAATTTACTAAAATTAAAACACCACCAGAACTAGGTATCCTTACCTGTGTAGTCTGACCATGTAGGTTTTGAGAGTTTGAACTGCTGTATACTATTATAGATGTCAGGGAATGAACCTGCATCTGGGTCATTTGGGGGCAGGAGGGCACATGGGTGGATGGGCTCCGGTAGGCTGGCACACACGGTGGTACTCAAACACTGTAAGGCTGCAGTACTCATACTCTGTAATGATAGAAAACCCCAGTATATCAATATATATACAGCTCCAGTATAATCATATAACTTGTACTATATTTTACTATTTGGACATATTAGTTGAACACTTGATTATACATGCACAAATAATATTACTATAACATTTACATACTTGTTCTTTTAGCACAGGACAGTCACCTTTACTAACAAACCATTGCTCATCATTGTTTCAATAACAAGAATTTACAAACATGAACAGCCATATCTTTTCACACTTTTGTTCAATTTTGTCCACTTTGTTTTATTTTTTTTATTTTACTATCACTTTACAACTATTAAATGTTGGCAAATTTCCAAAGGCTGAATTGAAAATATGATCTATCATTCCATTTCTTACATACAAAATAAGCATGATTTCTTTCATAATGCTGTAAGGTTCAACTGAATGAAGTAATATGAAGAAGAACAAGAAACTGTAGCACAGTAAAATGATATGTGAAAGTATTATCACAAGATACAACATATGATTAATTGTTAAATTCTAAATTGGATTTCAAATGGTGAAATCAATTTGAATAAGTGCCATTTGAATATCCTATATGCATTTTAGAAGTAGCTCTGTTTGACCTGCACTTCAATTACTGTACCAGCCTTCCCCTCCCACTCTTAACAGGATTGTTTTAATCCTGGTATTTAGGGTGTGTGCCAGCCACTGCATGCACTCAATAACACACAACTGTAACACACTTGGGATTCTGTCAGAAAAGTTAGAGAAATTAATTAATGTACAGAAATATTTAGTGTTTCAATGTTTCCATTCATATTTAATATGAAAACATTTACAACACATAATCATTCTAATATTCCAAAAGTACATGTGCTTAAAACATAACTGAGGAAATTAACCAAAAAAGTGGCACATTTATCAATGTACATTGCTTTTTTTACTCCCCAAGTTCTGAAAAATAAGAGTACAGTGTATGTCAAGATTGAGGAGATGCAAATTGTATTTTATTGTAACAGTATAATCATGGTATATAAAATATACGACCTACCTATATGTGTCCTATATGTAAGATTTGAAACACTGTGTAATAATTTTCATTCTGAATTTAAAAAAAAAATAAAAACATATGAAAGTTATTTAATGCCATCTCTGTGAATTTTTTTTTAGAAATCTGGGTCATATATGCCAAGGATCTGCAATGTCATTAACATTCAGTGTTTATCTATGTAAAGTGGAATACATCAATGACTTTTCCCGGTCAACCTTATAGTAATCACATTAGTTCATGACATGCTCCAGCTTACAAATATAATACAAATGAGAAATTTGTGGGCGATTGGTGCATCATGGATATGATGTAAACACACTGCCTCAAATTATTTTCATTGACCAATAGAATGTGTTACATCTTAAATTTATTTTCATATTTTTGAGATGGAGGCCCAAATTTAGTCCTGGTCTGGGGAAATCAACTGAAAAAATTAATTTAACACTCATTAAAATCCAAATCACTAGTTCCATTTTTCTCGTTACACTGCTTTGCTCACATCCTATTGAAAAATTAGCTCAAATGAATAACATATCTGTATTTGACAAGTATTTTGTGGTTTCTGAGCTTTTACATATCCATAATTGGGACAGGCAATGATAAATACTTTCATTTCATAGCCAGGAAAATATAGATGAAAATTTCAAGCTCTACAATGAAGACTGCTTATCTTTTAGAAATCTCTGAAAGAGGACATTCAACGTATTATTTAAAAGAATAAGACTGGCACTTATCAATACCAAATTTTTCCACATTTTTCTAAATGTTACAATATTACTGTTACAAGCCCACAGAGATTAAATGGGATGGTTCCTGTATAAAAGGCCTTCACTGGATACAGTTTCATTTCTCTCTATGTTCTCCCAGGAGATCCAAAATAGCAGGATAATATTTCTGTTATAGTGACAAACTAATCTGGCCAGCAATAAGGCCATGCTCCTGACATTTTTAGACAAAAATATGAAAAGGTTAGCATTCACAAAGGGAGGTATATACTAATAAAACACAGTGTGATGGTGTATACAAAATGCATAGAAATCAATAAGGAACTACTTGACTCACCAACTGATATATATATCTGGTCACGGATGTCAACAATGGCCTCAGGCTAACGTCATGTAATGTGTAGATCTCACAAAAGTTATATCAAATAGAATCTCATCTGAATTACTAGTTTGATTTGAATCATTGTCCATAATTAAAGCAGAATTTACACTGACTGATACAATATGTTGTCTGTACCTGTATCAGCTGATCAGCTCACTGCTAACAAGCAAACCAGGAAGTAGGGCAAAAGGTGTGCTTTTACAAAATGTGCACCTATAAAATGCAGCATTATCGCTGTGGGAAGTTTTATACCGGAGTATACATGTGTATTATACACATCCAACCTGTCTTAAAGGCCATCTTTAAGAAATAGCGTTCTGTAAAGGTCCAGGATTACTGGTCCAAATGTTCAATAAATCATAGTAACCGAACCTCTTTATAAAGGTCAGAAAGAGACACTTTTCTCTGATGAACCTAAAACGACTTCTGCAGGTAGGATTTGATAAGATGATTATTTGATGCCGGTATTCAAATTTATTACGCTGGTGTTGATATTTAAAGTTGAACATTGTCAATGAAAATATAAATGTCAAAAACAGCATAATAAATGTGAATATTAACATTTACCATTTCACAGACAGAAATTTTCAGTTTAACTTTTACCTGTGCGAGCCTGAAGTAAACAGTCTGCTACTCACCTCCATAAAGTGCATGTCATACTAACACGATTAAAAAAGCAACATTACTTCTCAAAGAGGGTGGGCATAATATTTACAATCCAGTGCGAATGAAAGTTTGACTCTCAAGTTCTTACTGTTGTAGAATCACTCGAATATTGTGAGCACACGCGTTCAGAACAAAGCAGACAGCATCCATGTTTATTCCAGCACGAGCATGGTGACCCCATCTTGGGGTCATAGTTCAAAGGTAACTAGGTGGACGCTGCTTGAAGCCGCTGCAGCAGATATGATTAGAAAGTCTTAAAATATCTGCATTTAGGTCCATTCATATCATTTTTTAACTAACAAATAAAAACAATTGAGTGTGATGCTAGTGCTTGTGAGTGAATGTCTTCTTTTTCATCTTTAAACTCTCAAGCAACTGTTCAATAGAACGTCAGAAGTCTGAATTTTATACAACCAGTAATTTGTAAATTTATCACACTCATTCAAACACCATTAATTTTGCCTGTATCGCCATATTTCTTGTATATAGTCCAATAAGGAAGAAAATTCTTTTGATAATCTAAATGTCTGTATATAATTAATATTGCTGATTCTTTACGAAACAGATACATACACCTGTCAGTCGTTCTCACGCAATAATGAAGTTTGGACTACATGGCATTCGCGACAAAGGATCAGTTATAAAAAATTTAACACACACACACACACATACACACACTCACCCACCAACATCACCACCACCACACACCTACACACCTACACACACACACACACACACCCACACACACACACACACACACACACATACGCACACACACTCACCACCAACACCACCACACACACACATACATACATACACACACACTCACCACCACCACCACACACACACACACACACACACACACACCCTCACACACACACACACACACACCAACACCACCATCACACACACACTAACACATATATAAGTCTATATTTGCAAGCATTGATGCCAAGCAAACACGAAAACTTCGGTGCGAATTTCATAAAACCTCATATAAAATGAAAATTACTTACTTACTGAAATATGTTTATCATATAACTTAGAAAACCTATATTTTTACATATATTATCATATCTCAATCGATTTCTGATTAGCGTAGGTAGTGAAAAACGTTCAATAGTAATATTATATTTGTGATATGTGTATATACGCAATGATATTACATGGACGAATTCACATACGGATTATATGATACAGTAAAACAACAACACCGTGACCTCCTGAAGCCGAAGAGAAACTGACATACTTACATAAACATTCCACGTAACTGAAGTCACGATAAAGATTTTTTTTTGAGATTGCATTATCATATCTATGTATCTAGATCCGGACTGAATTGGAAACGAGGTTCATCGATGATTAAGTACTTAGTTTTGTAGTAAAATATGTAAATTCATTCGTGATACATGAATTCAAAATGTATTAGAAAGTGCACAGCATACAAACTGAAGGAAAATCTCTACAAAATTCCGATAAGTTCTAAAGAAACCTTTTTCTTCTGGGACTTTTTTTTAATGGAGCAAGCGTTAGTTAAACTTGATTGTTATCGCTGTATAAAGTTAGAGTACTCGTCGATCATATAAATGTAATGATAGTTTAGTAAATGTGGGACAACATACGATCTTGTATGACTGTAGAGTAAATCAGTTGTAATTATGTCAAGTCTGATACTGGGTAATCGATGCATGTATGTAATAAATTTCTATATCTACTGTACACTGCTGTGCATAGTATTGTATGATATGTGATGTAAAATATTTAAGATTTTTTTTTGTTAATACCATATAAACATACAACTAAGTTAAAATGTCAGTAATAAATTTCTACAATTATAGTATATCCACACTGCTATGCAAAGTATTGTATGATATGTGATATAATGTATTTCAGATTTTATCATTAATACCATATAAACATGCAATTAAGTTATCATGTCGACAGCCTTCGCTTTATACTCTCCCTATATTTCCGTTATTTGCTTGTTATAGATAATGTCTAGTGTTTAAAATGAGACGATAACGTAGCAAGAAAATATATCTGCCTATATATACGTATATCATCACTAACATACTTCCGACATCTGTTTGGATGTTTGGAAAAATAAGTATACAAAGTAAACAATTATAATAATGTACATATACATATAAAGTGACATTAAATGTTATTATATCAAATGTTTGTCAAGGTGACTGTCAGCGTTAGTTTGAGTAACTATCAATATTTGTGTAACTGTCAACGTGAGTTTGAGTAACTATCAATATTTGTGTAACTGTCAGCGTTAGTTTGAGTAACTATCAATATTTGTTAACTGTCAGCGTTAGTTTGAGTAACTATCAATATTTGTGTAACTGTCAACGTTAGTTTGAGTAACTGGCAGTCATTGATAGTTTGTACAACTGTCAGTGTTAGTTTGTGTAACTGTCAGTGATTGATAGTGTGTACAACTGTCAACGTTAGTTTGTGTGACTGTCAGTGATTGATAAGGTGTACAACTGTCAGCATTAGTTTGTCTAAATGTAAGTGTTAGATTATGTGTCTGTTAGTGTAAGTATGTGTACGTGTCTTTTATCGTTAGTGTAACTGTCAATTTTTGTAACGCTCAGTGTTCTTTACTGTAACTGTCGATATTTGTTTGTGTAACAGTGTTAGTTCTTGTTTATATTTGTTATTTGTAGGGATTTACAACCCTTCCCCCCAACCCTGACCCCTACCCCCCAACCCCCACCCCACCCCCTGTAATTATCGACATATGTACAATACTTACACTCCGTACAAACACTGGATACGAAATACTTCTATGCTTGGTAAGTATTGACATATCGACAAAGACTTATCATGTTTTAATGTAAACTTTCCATAAGGAAATTCATTATCCTTATTCATTATCAACGTTTATGATATATGTCTAAACATACTTACTATTTCGGTGGTAATTACAATATCCAGAAATCAACTTCCGCGATAATTCCGTGATAATTAAACAAACACATTGTGCACTTGTTGCCGCTGACTCATTGTTAACAAGCCATTTCAGAAAAGTTTCCGTAAAGGAAAATAATCAAACACACACATATACAAACTCGTACATGTAGCTCCGGTTTTTCACGTCAGGAAATGACGATCCCCGGGTACACCTATTACTGAGGCCAGGCGCGCGGGATTGATTGATGAGTGATCAGCGATATTCATGTACCCTCAGGGAGCGTCCAAATTCTTCTCTTCCGGTCTAGAATTAACCAATTGAGCACATAAAACTGTCTGACAAGAAGAACGTTAAACTATAAAACTTATAAGCCTTTAATACAAGGTATATAATCGATGTGATTATCATAAAATTGAAAGTTGTATATATACATGTAGTGTATCAACAGTATAAATTGTATGTTCATGTAGTGGTTTACACAGCATTATAGTTTTATATCTGTGAAACTCAAACGAGTATTATTCATCACAACGTAAGAATAGATAAGCTGTATAGGATGGAAATAGGATGTTGTGGCGAAATTCGTGTCATTTTTCGAATGCTTTTGGTTATAATCACTGTTTGTTATATAAGATTGAGATGATATACGAATTAAGCACGTATCGGTTATCCCTCCTTGTGATAAGAGATATTTCGTATCCGTATATTACATGCATTTTTATACGTATCATTTGATTATTATGTAATCCAAACTGTTGTGAACTATACATTACCTTATCAAACATAGGCGGATACAAGAGATAAAGCTCAGAACGGTGCTTGGCCCCTGAGATAGGGAATTACATGTACAATATATACATGCTTTTACTTAGTAATGCATGGGAGTTAGAGAAGGTCAACGACGACGACAACAACAACAACAACAACAACAACAACAACAACAACAACAACAACAACAACAACAACAACAACAACAACAACATTAGCTTCATTCTTCACTATTCACTGTTAAATAATCCCACACATTTTCATACCTATGAATTGGTTTCAGTTTCATACATGGTGTTATACTGAGAAGTCGGGATATATCGAAATTCGTAAGCGACGAAGAGTTACTTCCCTTGCATTATATACACTTGCATTTCATTTCCTATTTTAGGTTCACCAGAAATCCAGGTTAAGAGGCTAGAGGAACTCCACATCACAAACCAGCAAGTCTATAAATACCATCAAAGATGACTTGTATAGACGATCGTAAATTCTTGGTAAATATTATATGTCCATTTCATATGAACGTGGGTGTGTCCTTTAAAATGAAGAATAAGACTACATGATTATTTTCAAAATAAAATTTATTACATACGTAATAAACACAACAAATAACATGATACTTAATTAAGATGTTGATATGTATTAAGAAAAAAATGGCATAGGTGTTTGGCACAAACAGATATGCTTGCTTTGTTTTGTATACAAACATCGACCCTTGTTCTACTCCAAAGTTTCAAACTCACAACCGCATCAGTGTATCCATGTTACAGGTATTGACCTTATAAGGAAAACAAAATCGAGTTAAAACAAAATTAATGATATGATATTTGACTATGTCGCCACGTTATTCGTTCTTCATGTTTAAGCTGGGCTCCCACTGCTTATGGTAATATTTCAAATAAAAAATGACGACTAATTTTTTTAACGATATCTACCAATATCTTGAGATAGAACCTTGAAAGGTCTCGATTAAAACTAAACTGAACCCATGGCAAGTAGTGATTTTGAAGTGAAATACCTTGGATCGGTAAATTGTTGTTTTAAACATGAATTCAAAATACGGATATCATCTCCTTTCTAAATGATATGACATTGCAGCCTGCTCTCGTAGAAACATGATGAGGTTGGAATTATGCCAACGTTTGGAAATATATATTGCAATTTAAAAATACGTTAATGGCTTCCAGAGGGTCGAGGTATCGGAACCGGCAAAACGTCATGTAGAGAATGGCACACACTATAGCTAGGTCTATTTTAATGAGAAAAAAAATGTCATGTCCTTTTGCCCGTTGCTATCGTCATCTAACCTGGTAGCCAAATATAGCAATTATGGAATTGTCAAAAATACAAGGAAGTTATGTACAGTAACGACCATTGATAAGGCTGTTTATGTATTATAAGACCATTTGAATGTCATTCAAACGCCTTTGACGTATATAACGATGAATGGTATATTGGTCTATGGTTTATGATAACCTACCCTGTTTTCGTATATATCAAACAATTAATTATTTATAATTGAAAGATGTTCAACTGTAATGTTAACAATGGTTTTACATATATCTTTCTCTTTTTTGGTGCATTTATTTGTATGAAGGCATGGTTTTCATTCTTTTGTTGTTTACTATAACCGATGATTATTGATTTCTAAATCATGTTTCAGACATTGTTCATGTTGTGGGCGTTTCCATATCTTACCAAATTAAAAATAATGTGTTTATTAAGAAGATATTCCTCTGTTTTCGATAAATAGGACTTATTCAAAGTAAGGTCGAGGCATGGCATTTACAGTGTTATAAAATTCCCTTGATGTTGCGCAGCTGTGAATTTACATCTAGACGTTTGAATTCTGGAAATATAATGCAAACATGATTTTGTTGAGTGTGTTGAAGAAGTCAAGTTATGAAGTTTTAATCCATTAAAAAGTGTCTTCCCGATAAAGTAAATATACACAGCCCATGACAGTACAATTAACCTTGTTAAGGTCTGCTAGAACGGCCTTAACAATTAATTCGCTTATTTAAGTCTCCTTCAAAACCATGAAACCTCTGGGAATTTTTCATTCTAATATTTCTAAAAAGCAATTTATAGCCAACCCTAGGGTTTATTGGAAATTAACTAATTAAAACCATAGATAGACCTAAGTTCTCATCTATAAAATATATATTTTATGGCTAGTACAATGATGTGCATAAAACAGCTGGTTTTCAACTCGACTATTTAAGTATAAATTATCCGCTACTTTACAAGAGATTGATTTTAATATTTTTTTTTCACCTGAAGGAATTTGGAACACTTACAACAAATGGTCGTGGACTCCTTCCTGAATCACATGCTATGATGCTTGTTTGATTTTATTGCATTTCTTTCACATGTATTTTTTTGTCTTCTGATTTTTTTTTTCGAAAACCATGGCCCTTTAAATGCATTTCCTGTTGGAAAATATCATTCTGAAAAAAGGACGCAGAATGATCTGTTTAATAAAATCAATCAATAAACTGATAATTTAATCAATGAATTAATCAATTAATCAATAACGTAGTCGCAATGCAAACATTACTATTCGTGCGATGAACATAATATGTTCTCTTAGTGTAAGTTAAAAAAGACATTCCTTCACATACATGTATTATTCAGCGAAAAATGACATACAATGATCAGATAAGTCAATGTTTTACATATAAACTAAATTGTTTGATGATGAAATGGTAACAATATACAAATGATAATAAATAGATGAAAAAAAGTTTTGGACAAGGTAAATATATTTTTAGCTGGTATAACCCAGTTACACGATGTCAAAGATTTAGAGAAAAAAAAAGGATTATTGCAGAACCGAAATAAAAGTTGCATTGTTTTTGCAAGATGATGAGAGAAGGAATTGTTATTAGAGAGTAATGATGAAGGATATAAGCTACCTTACAGACCCAAAGGAACGTTGTATCAGAACTTACTCTACACAAACTCGCCTCAAAATGTTCGTCTACAACGGTAACTTTGGCTTTTTGTATGCAATACGAATTATATACCCGTATGGGCGATAACTCTAGCAGAAACTACAGCTATGACGTGTAAGGTAGCCTATTCCAATTAAAGTGCATGAATTATTAGAATAAGGCATACTATATTTTGCTTAGACGACTAGATGCGTCGTCATATTCATAAGTTTATACATTTATATATTGAAAGACAAGTGATTATCAACATTGAGAATTTAATGTTGGATTGTAACAGTTTAATAATTTAACTGTTATGGTTGTCAATATGAGTAGTCCAGTTAATGAAATAAATACAAATCTAAGTTACTTTAAGTGATGAAACAGAGATCGGCTTACTACAGTAAGAAATCCGCACAGAAAACGATTTCGTTATCCAATGATCTGTTTAAGAATTCATAACAATATAAATATGACTAAACCGAACTTTCACATACACACCTTGCAGTTTTCTAAACTAAACACAATTCATGTAGTTTACAAATACAGAGAAATGGAGAGAAAAAAAAACAATAAACAAACAAACAAACAAACAATAAAACAATAAACAAGCAAAAAAAAAAAAAAAAAAAAATAAACAAAAACAAAAACAAAAAAAAATCATACATTGTTATAGTCATATTAACATATCTGCATTTGTTTATCTCCACATGACACAGAAAAAAGAGACAAAAATGTCATAGGTATAAATAGTTCGAGCATATCATTCAAATTTATGTTACCCCATTTCAAATGGAAAATACTGTATTTTTTAATGATCTTTTTAAAGTGTGAGATAATAACATAATTAAATTAAGCAGAATTTCCTCAAAATCCGCTCAGTGGCAAAATTAAACGAAAAAAAAATCCAACTTATTGCTAATTATAAATAAAGACGATGAATATACTAAAAATAATTTTCATACTGTGACTCGTTTTTACGCCATTGTTACGTGTATAAGTATACTCCAGTATTCGTATGCCGTACACATTATCTCCATGGCACTGATGTAAGGTACTTCGGACAAGCAAAGCTACAGATATACTTCTATAGCAAAAAAAAAAAAAAAAATAATAATAATAATAATAAAATACTAGACAAGGAAGCCATAATACCAAAACTTCAAAGATAATTCAGGCCTCATATAGGAATATTTTATCAAACAATACGGACAAATAAATAGGCAATATTGAAATAAATCAAACTCAAGTTGAAATCATAAAACCATTCTTTCTATTTATATTTTGTAGTGGAGATGAAAAGTAGGACAATAATTTTAAACGATATCAGTCATTTGTTAAATAATTTGTATTAGTGTAAGCAATATCATGCCTTAGGTATCCAATAATTTTCCAGCATAGTTGCTTTTAATGTCTTATTTTCGCGTAGCAAAAATTTGGTAGAAACTGAAAGGTTTAGATTACAGTTAGATGTGGCAATTTGACTAATTATATTCTAACGATCTGGTTTCCAGTTATATAATAAAATCTTTTTTCACTATGGCATCTTAAACCAGTATATCAAAATACTATCATCAAGGAAGAAAAATAATCGCCTTTGTTATTATACATCACTTCCTAAAATACACATTATTGATACAGATTTGAAAAAAGCATGAAAATTAACAAATATTTATGTACTTGTCTTTTCATGGTCATATGATCATCAATACGATGCTATTTAACCATAGATTTGTAATTTTTAAAAGACGACATGGCACATTGTGTGCAATCACACAAAGCTTCAAGGAATGAAGGTGTGATTTTAAATTGGATCAAGTTAAACCGAGAGGTCTTCATTACAAGCAAACATGTGCGCAAACTTATAGATAAACTGAAAGGTGAAGCCACGTTGATAACGTGGATCTGATTGAAGAGAACATATCTCAATGTATAATTATTGTTTGCAAACTTTCCGCAAATGGCGTGCGATCATTCGGGCGGACACATTCATAATTTCAAGATTCACGCATTTGCGAAATAGGAGCAAATATCACTAACTCGTTTATTTTCATAACGAAATCTTAATACATGATCTCATGAAAAGATCAAAATTTTCATTGATAAATTATGGACTAGATCAAACTATTTACAAAATGCGTTTGACACGCAAAATGCGCAATTTACGCAAAATTTAAGAAAAAAAAAATACCATCACAAAAAATTCATTCGATACGTTATAACACGTAGGAATGAATAAATCACAGTAAGTTGTCTGTCATGTAATGTTTAGGGAAACCTATGGCCGCTATTGTCCATCACAGAATTGATATCGCATACCCCTCTTTAACATATCGTTCAGTTGATGTCATTTCAAGCATATCACAGAATACTCTGGTCGGTGGTTAAAAATTCTGGATTGTTTGCATTCTGCTCACTATGACATCCTTCCTGTCCACATCTTCGTCTTTTCAAATATTGCACAGGTATATTGATTGATAGCATCTTAAAGAGAAGCGGATTAAAACGGATTTCAAATAATGATATTTTACCAATAAAAGTGTTAGGATCATCACATCTGGTGTGGTTTCTGTTTGACAAATTTCATACCGAGATAATATATGAAGAGATATACTGCAATAGAACCCATTAGCACCAGGCAGGCGTCCAGCACCGTATTTCCATCGAGAGAGTACAGTTTCAGAGCAGCTTCTCCATTCTTTATACAAAGTTCTGGTGGCACGATGCCACACGAAAAGGTCAAATTCTGTATTTCTGTGAGGCATAGACCCTGAAATCCCCACTTCAGGTAAGATATACTAGATACCCATTTCAAACCTGAAAAAATAAGAATTTTATGATATAAGCTAAAATGCTTAACAAATTAAAACAAATGTTTACTGATCTGATGGATTACCTGTTTTGATATCTAAATGATGTTGTCTTTTCAATTCAAATTTATCATTATACATATTATACCGAATTTGCTGAGTTACCATTTGGAGGGGAAATTCTGAAAATGAAACTGGCACAAACTCAAAAGGTGTTGTCTTTCAGTTTTAAAAGATTAACATTTTTCTTACCGGAAAATATGTTTTCCAGATTGATGAAAAATCCCGCCGACATGATATACATAGAGAAAAACGTCTGTGCAAAGAAACAAGAAAGAGTGAAGGTCGGCATCAGAGCTGAGGAAAGCATGGCAAGGGAACGACTGCAGTACACCAGCAGGAACACTATGGCGAATACTTGAAAAAACACCTTCACATCTACAGTGAATCCGGCCAGGAAGAATACTGGGATCACGTACACAACCACGAAGAAGGAGTGGAGCGGTAACTCACTAAGCACCTGTTGGGATTAAGATCAATAATCAATTAATCAATTATCAGGCAGATAGGTATAACTAATTGAGATGTACATGAAACGTTATTTTTCATGATAATATTACGTAGCTAAATATCTTTTTCAATCAAATATGATGTGTGGTACAAGATAGGAATAAAACATGTATATATGAATATTTCCGAATACCATATTTTGAGAGATGACATTTCGACCACATCTGGTTTTTCGCTATAATTCTTACGTCATTCAACCGACATGTGTTTAAGGTATCTACAAATCATCTCAGAACATTTAATGAATAATTTTATGACTCAACCAGATGACACATGTATCGACTTTTATAGAAGTAAAAACAAAATAAGGTACTTTGATTACATCAAAACAATCCAGTGAGTTGCTTGAATTAACTAAGGAACTGTCAAAACCAAAGGTAACATATCTTACAATGAAACACGCCGTGAAGACGATTAATCAGGCAAGTGATTGGTGTATTTGAGATATTTGGATAATAATACAATGACATATTGTTGTGACATTAAATATTTCTGTTATGGCAGTTTCTGACATGAAACAGGCATGGCTTCTTTACGTTGACAGTAACTCCCTTCAAGAATTCATTTATGAGCCAAGACTTTTTACTTGGAATGAATTAAAACCCGCATGTACTTCTGATTTCGCATTCTACATGTATTAAATTAAACGAGTTTCTGTCGTGTTTTAATCTCATAGACGTTAACCCCTATTTTATTGTCTGCTTTCGACTTCATCGTCCCGAAGGCGCCAAAACAAAGAGAGAACAATCGTTTGTACAGGTACATGAGCACTGCAGTCTCTGAAGGCTAGTTCACGTAATCCGGAGTTTGTGTATTCAATGGTTATTATGTAATTTAGCAAAGTCAAGTTTAAGTGGCATTTTATCCATTTTAAATGATCCTGCAGCATGCTTCTTCCCTTTTGTCGTCATGCGATCAATATCACAATTAAGGAATTGTAAAGAAAAAAACCAAAAACAAAACAAAAAATAAATTAATAAATAAAAAAATAAAGAGTGAGAGAGAAAAAAGAGATTTTTTTTCAAAATACACACAAGTGCCTAGCAACTTTTAACGTAAGTTTAGGACAAGATATAGAAGAGCCAAATATAATGAATTACCGATCTAAAGGACATAGGTTGGGCTGTCTAACTAATCGCCGTTCAATCGGCTACCGAATGATGTTACTGAACACATGATACAGACGGATATTTATGCAAAGACTTCACTAAGTTGTAAGCACAGGATCCTTAAATTATAATTTCTCAATTTATGTGACGCAAAACAAGCGCTACTGTTTGAATTCATTTGTGAAGTCAATCTGCAGAACTATGGGAAGATACTAATTATAAACATGTTGAACGCTATTGACAACTATTGTTGTCTATTAACAACTTCTCGCAATATTCATTTAAAAGATGTTTTTCACCTCCAAACATTAAAGTAAACGTAAGTATGGGTCCATGAAGGAGAGTGAGAGCATGACAATTAGGGAAAGCCAACCTGCCCTATGATTACATACCTTACAACTGGCTGTATTTTCATATCGAAATGAACTAAGCATAATGTGTATGTGTTAATTTTTAAGGGTTCAAATGTTCGCGAGTAAAAGAAAAAGTAGACGAGAAAATAATTGTTTTCTATTTGAATAACAAAAAGGACATAAATCCCTTTTCTTTTATCCTTTCTTACTGTTAAATAGCGAACATATTTCTTCTAGACAACAATGATAAAAGAATCTTAATTCAAAAGCAAATTATTAGCAAACGAACGATCAACATGTAGAACCCAGAAAAACATTCAAGAATATTAGAACCTTTTCCCTGGAAGTTAACATATTAATGTGACGTTTCACTATTTTTAATCGAATCTTTGCACCCGCTATAAGAATAAATTTCATACGATGATGCGTTACCTTGGCGAAGTAATATGGCGTCGGTCCGTACAAACCGTCCTCCATTTCGTAGTACAGGTAATGTCTTTCGTTGTGATCTGTTGACATTGAAATGGATATACTCATGCATTTAAAGTCTAGGTAAATGTAAACACTGAATTACATATTTACTATCACTACAGGTAATTAAATAATTAGATTTTATGAGAACGTTCATGTTCATTATGCAGTGTAAGAAAGATTGGTGGGTAATGTGTTCCATATTCAATATTCAGAATTGAATGATTAAGTTATAGTAATAATAACGACTGATTATGTAGTAATGCAAAAAAACATCTTAAGGATGATGTATTGTCTAACAATTACACTGAAATGTCATTTTGAAAAGAATCATTCATGAAATTAATTAATGCGATATACCACATAGGTAAAGAAAGATCATACTTAATTATTGTTCGATAAGGTGGACGAAAATAGACATTGTGCATTTTCATAGAATTAGTTTTTCGATTTCTCTATTTTGTTCCAACAAGGCTCGAACGGTTTCTCCTTTGCATGTTCGTTTAAATGGTTGATGGCTTACATTGAGCGATGAGGTCAAGGATGACAAGGTATGGATACATAGCCCCAATGATGTACATGAGGCCGAACCAATCGCGGACTGTGTTCTGGTCCAATCCTAGTTTAAAGTAAACAAGTCCCACCACGACTGACATGGATAGGGCCTGAATAAACTGTGCCATCAGAAACAGGTAGTCTTCAACCAGATTCCGGGTACAACGTCTAAAATGTGTCAAGGACATCATTGAACAGAAGTGGGCGCATTATCCATTCAACAACTTTAAAAGTATTTAAAAAGGTCACGACAACCGCGGCATCTAAATATACAGAATGCAAAACTTCTCATGGACGAGTTGAAATTAAGGAACAGTTTATGAAACGTATAGAACATCTGGTGAAAAAAGGAATCGTTTGCTTCGACAAAACATGAACGTGTATCAACCATCATTATCATAGCGGGAATTCTTGATCATGAGATATTTGTAAGTCAAATTATAACAGTGTCAAATGATCAAAGTAATCAATTTATCTAATCAATCATAATCAGCTATTGATATGATTAATACCTGGTGATGTTTTCTCTATTGCAAACTGATATCATCATATCAGTAATTTTGAAATATCAAACAGCTTCAACTGAGAATGACATCAAATGGAAAGTTGTTTGATCAGAAAAGTGTATAATGGCACCGTACGTTACGGAGCACAGTCTAAGGTAACAAATACCATTGTATATCAGGAAATATTCCCCAAGTTACAGAAACATAAATGAATCTGCCATGTCGCTGTTTCGTTTTATAAGCAATAAAACAAAAAATAAAAACGATCCATTTAGAACGAATGCAAATACAAACTTATCGCGTGCCTGTATGCAATTATTCTTTGCTACGAGTCAAAATGATATTGACTTTTTTTTTACGAGGAATTCTTATCTATAAGCAAGAGATAGCAAGCACACATGGAAACGATAATAAAACACGGTTTCCATGTCGGTAACATTACTTGGAAAGATGTATATTTCAAATATTATTGGTTATGCGAACTTGGCAATGTGGAGCCAATAAAAAATGTTTCATAGATATTTTGTAGGTAAGAAAAGTAAGGTTAAATAATTCGAACGTACCAAGTTTGATGGATGCATGTAATTTAATTCTTTTTCCAAGTAGAAAAGTAATAATGTGATAGACTGGATAAAGGAATTCTCATTTTTTTAAAAAGAATAAATTCATCCATTGGTGAAGAGTATAAATATATCGTCTTAAAACCGAATACCACATCACTTCATGTGATGTCGACTGAAGTAAATGTGTCAGCTTGCACAACTGCTGACAAAGAAAAATACGATTAAACGTTTCAATGTTAGCATGCTGATAAATGTATTGGATTTCTTTTGTTTATGTAATTATATCACCATGAATTCTATTTTTCCTTTATTTTTCTTTTAATCTATATTGCAAATTTCGTCGATGAAAAAAAAAACTGAAGACAATTTTCACATTGATGATGTTACTTATATCAGGTTGCTCTGAAACCAGGAATACTCCTGTGCCAAGATTCATATTAGATTGTTGGAAAGAAGTCTATACGTTATGGTAGTTCTTACCGATATAGTACAGAGAATTGCCGGAAAGGTCCAGGACTGTGCTCCAGATTGTCAAACATCTTCATGACTGGGTATGGTTCATCTGGGGAAACAACACCGGTGGTCCCATCGGATTCGAGACTCATTCCACGCTCTGCACTGTTGACAAGTCTGCTGGTCTCATATCTCTGGATTAATGTGTTAACGGTGTCGGTGCTTTCTGTTTCCGTAACATCAGAGGTGCAGTCAATGGTAGCCAAATCAACTAAAATCATAAAACAATGTTGACGTTCAAAGCTGGTAGATATTTTTTCTCTACGACGAATGATATTTAACCAAGTGACATTGGGTGGATTTAACATTTATTTTATTGCGAATAGGAAGTTGTTTCAAGGGAAGTCGCTGATTATATTAACGTTGACGCAGATTTTAACGCGAAGTGATCGTCCGCGGATAATGATATTTCTGATGCTTGCTTTACAGAATTACAAAGCATCTACGAAATCAAACCTACCTAGCTATTGACAATTTTCTATAAATAGCAACGATGACTTGTGAATAACGGATTAATTCAAAGCAAAATCGTACCTTTACCTTATACTTCGAAGGATCAATGCAGGATGTATATGGCGCTCTTTTGTTCAGGGGATTAATATTTTGTTCCATTTAACTACATATATAAATCACAATTTCTATATTCTAATTAAGTGCAATGACGAATATAAAATCTAATATCCTTTGGCAAAAAAACCATCATAATTAAAATGAAAGATGTCAAGCTCATATATTTTTTGACAGACTAAACGAAATCACTTGTAATTATTTTCATATTATGACACAACATGCTGCATGATATACCCCTATGATGTCATATTTTCCTAATAATTCTAGGATATACATATATGTGTGTACTCTATATATATCTTGCTTTTCAAGTTTTTCATCAATTTGCAATTGCACTGCTTATGTACTAGGGTTTTATTGCAGAACGCATTTTAAAGCTAGATTGCATTTTTAATATTTGGGTGTCTTAAGTCAGATTAGACTGTGTTTTACGATATCATATATCAATTATAGGCCGATTAAGCGTTCAACTGCCGGAGATTTTTTTTTATCTCAAAAACTGAAATTGACAAACGATTTGCTTCAGTCATGTGCTACCGTTTTAACATTATTACGCAGTCTGTAATTTAAAAAAAACAACCTAGGAAAGATTTAAATATATTTCAGCGAATATCTACAACAACCTGAAGTCATGCTTATTCTAATGATAACTGTGTTATTCACATTGCAATAAATACGACTCACGTACAAATACATATCAATTTAGAACGTATTAGATAATGGATCATAAAACTGAAACAGCTTTCTAATTGATTGATAGAATCAATAAACGTACAGTGTGTTTAGACTATTAGAAAAATCTAAGAATGATCCGCTAAGTACGCAGTAGGCACACACATGAAATTGATTCATGTGTGTTCCTACCAATCGAGACGACATGCATCCCCTCTTCTGCACCGACGCTAATTATATGGTATTGGGCATCATAGAGCATAGAGCCGATTTTATTCCCAAAAGCCAAATAATTTCGAACAGTATTGACAAAATATCCGATGGTGTAAACTAGCATAAATCTAGCAAAGAACGATGCCAATGTAATTGTCCAAGCAGCCAAAAAATTGATCCTAATGCAATTATTTCAATATCTTCCATTTCATCTGATTGTTAGTTGTATAAGCTAATTAGATACACTTTGCAACCACAATCACTAAAAACTAGCAAAACAACGCTAGATACAGCAATATTTTGAATGCCAAGGGTCTCACTGAAGCATACAAAAATGTTCATGCTAAACTGTCATTTAATTTTAATGAGTCGATGAAGCAGAATACGCTGAATCTTTCGGAACACATGATCTCATTCTTCTTGTATTTTTGTTCATATTTTGACACAGTTTGATTGAATTTGAGTTTGGCTTATGATTCTGTTCACATGCTGGTATTTTCTTTTTCTTTTCTACTGGTGCCGTTGCGCGATCAATACTGGCTTTGAGCGCTGTTTGGGAAACTAGAAAACATTGGGCATGGGTCATGTGTCGAAGAATTGTGCTTCCAATTAGGTTTGTATGATTTTTTAAAAATTACAACGGAAAACACGTGTTTGCTAGCTAATTAAATCAATAACTTAATGAAGTATTCTTTCACTGAGACGTTTCATTGAAATTAGTAAAAATGGTGATCTTATTAATCTATTTCCCGGTTTTATGTTAAATGATTTTTTTAGACGTTTGTTTAATTCGCAATATAAACTTATATAAATCAAGGTACATCATTTGTTAACATTCATGTACTACATAACGTTACAATTTTCAGACTTTGAACTAAGCACTTGTCGCAAAAATAACCGTGCAACGAAATACAAGGGATTGATAGAAATAGAACTGACCTCTCGCACCAAGGTACCTTATCTGTCCGCAATGAATTGTTAATGAAGTTTTATTCTAGAATGGCCAGTGTGAATGTCATGACTTGGTTTACGAAGATTTTATGACACCTTGTATTTATAGTCACGATCGTCAGATCGAGCTAATTGTATTGTCACTCTGTTTGTTATACTCATTAAACAATAATACAGCGACCATCTCACTATGGGTGAAACAATGATGAATAATATATATATTAGTCTCCCAAGTCATCTATCAAAAATCGTGGCGTCAATGCATTGTTATACATAAGACTCTATGGTAAAGATCACGATGAATCATATCTTTACAATCAGACCTGACTAAACCAAACTCTATGATGCATTGTACAGAGGTCCGAGTAACTGCAAATATTCATCATTTACATAAGTCGAAGACGCGAAGTTTTTTATAGGACCTTGCAATAAATTCATTGTCCAGTGTACAGACGACCCCGAGCTACTGCAAATGTCTATCTTTTACATAAGTCAAAGACAAGTCTGCAACAGAACCATACAATAAATCCATTGTCCAGTGTACACAGGTCCCCCGAGCTACTACAAATATCTATCATATACATGAGTCGAAGTTACGTCTGCAATAGAACCATACAATAAATCCATTGTCCAGTGTACAGAGGTTCGAGTTACTACAGTTATTTATATAAGTCGAAGTCAAGTTTCCAACTCAACCATACAATAAATTCATTGTCCAGTGTACAGACGACCCCGAGCTACTACAAATGTCTATCTTTTACATAAGTCAAAGACAAGTCTGCAACAGAACCATACAATAAATCCATTGTCCAGTGTACACAGGTCCCCCGAGCTACTACAAATATCTATCATATACATGAGTCGAAGTTACGTCTGCAATAGAACCATACAATAAATCCATTGTCCAGTGTACAGAGGTTCGAGTTACTACAGTTATTTATATAAGTCGAAGTCAAGTTTCCAACTCAACCATACAATAAATCTATTGTCCAGTGTACAGAGGTTCCCCGAACTACTACAATTGTTTATCATTTACATGAGTCGAAGTCAAGTCTGCAACAGAACCATACAATAAATCCATTGTCCAGTGTACACAGGTCCCCCGAGCTACTACAAGTGTTTATCATTTACATGAGTCGAAGTCAAGTCTGCAACAGAACCATACAATAAATCCATTGTCCAGTGTACACAGGTCCCCGAGCTACTACAATTGTTTATCATTTACATAAGGTGAAGTCAATTATTCAACTATACAATCACACGAGGAAAAAAACTATTATGTACAATGTAATGTTTAACTCCGGCATTGCCATAGCTTTGTATACTTATTTGCATATTTATATTTTGATCTTGGACATGATCAAATTCACGTTAACATTATTTGCAAAAAACCGTTAAACTCTCGTCATAAATTTGTATGATGCAATGCAATTTATTATTTGGCTAATCTGTATTGCAAATGCTGTTCACTTTTGTGTCTTTTGCACAACATCTGTGATTGAGATAATTATCAGATGTACAATAAAATAACCGAAATCGGCATGACTGAAGTAGAGATGGGTCTAACTGATATTTGTTATGGATTACAGTGATCCGGTTTTGTCGCGTATTTGTTTAATTCATTCTTACCATAATAATCACACGGATTGGTAAGCGCTGGACAAGGGAATCCCTTTTCTGTGAAATAATCTACCATTTTGTTGGCTTCGCCAAAATACACCTGTCGACCACTTGTCATAATCATCATCAAGTCGAATAACTCAAAAATGTCAGACCTGTAAATAAGACAGATATGCATGACTTGAGATATCATATAACAATATTTTGTAAGGGTACTGCTAAAAAGAGGAGGATTGCCATAATTGATTTATAAAGATTTCAAAAGTGACTTTGTTAAAACATACATTCATAATACAAGCTGAAAAAAAGGCAGATAAAAATGGCCTGTTGGTTTGACCCCAAGCCACATACAAACTTCAATTACGCTATCTTGTCCTTTGTTCATTTGATTTAACTGCAATATTCATTTTTAGGGACGTCATAAATTTTTCATTTGTAGCTTTTTGTGTGATCGCTTTCTGTGAATGAAATATTTGCCCTAACAAAATATTGATTGGTGTGTTATCAGTAAAGCAAAGTAAGGCCTACAGAATCGACCATATCCTTACTATATTAAATGTATAGGGAAAATTAACGTTGTGTTAACATATCGCACGAACTTTGTTTCGTGGATGGTTTAGCAGTGGGGAAATAACTGAAACATTTGAAATGTTGCGACTTTACATAAAAACATTCTAAACCCTAGTTTTAACAGGGACTTCATAAGAACTTTAAATATTGTCCAACAGAAGTCAGTGTATTCTAGAAGATAGGCGACTTCTAGATTGGTAAAGCAGTTGCCATTCACTTGCCCAACTACCATACCATTCATTTTACATTTCCAACCAGAAAACAATTGTTCCGAAATACCTTTCTATCTCGATTATTGTACCAACTGATAAAAACAACAATTTCCTACCTCGGTTGATGTATGGACATAAGCACTGTTCTGTTGTTTCGTGCCAGTTTCGATAGTGTCTCCACCAGATGATGGGCCGTGAAAGCGTCCAGACCGGAAGTTGGTTCATCAAGAAACAGGATACCTGTTAGAAAAGACAGGTGGTTTCATAAAAGCAGAATAAAAGGGGAAGGACCAGAGGCTTTTAAGATTACAGAAGAACGTAGGCAGGAGAAGGTGTATTAGGTAGCTAGAGTTAATAACTGCATGTTAATGACTTACGATATCCGAATCTCCACAGACGACCCGTGTTTTTATCATTAACGGACATACTATATAGCTAGTGATTTTTGCTAATCTGACTTCGATCTGCCTTTGAATGTGTTGCGGTCGTAATCGGGAGTTGATGTCAATATATGGGAGTTCCATGGGGTATCATATTTCAGGGGAAGTATACAGCGATGGCTGGTTGATAAATTATTTCATGTAATGAGTTTCAAAAGTGGTATAAAAAATTACAGTTCTGAAATATTTGTTTTTGTGATGGCATTCTGCTGATATTCAAATGTATAATATGAGATGATCTGTGAGGACTTTTAACACTTGACATGAAGTGAGTGTTATTGATTTTTCTCTCCTATATATTTTCTTTTCATATGCAACTGAGTAGAAATGAGGCACGCCTTTATACATACATGTAGCACATATTACGTCTCTTCTCGCCATCCGATATATCTCGGTTTTTATTTTTCACACCTACTGAAATCTCAGAGAAGCTTGACATCAATGCTAACTCTACTTCTTAAACCACTTAGTATAATTCGGCTTACATTTGTTTACATTGGGATCTCTCAGAATCCTGGAATCGATGCTAACTCTCACCATCGGTTACTTAGATTTAACAGAAGTTGGACTCCTATATTAACTCATCTCCGTTCGCTGTCTAATACACCTCGGCTTATGTACATGTAAGGTAATACTTACTTGTCCAACAGACGCGTAACACCAATACAAAACCGTCTCTTCTAACCACCTAATATATCTCTATCTACCACTGTTGATACTTACTGGAATTGATCTAACAGAAGCTAGGCACCAGTCATAACTCGTCTCCTCTTATCACCCATTACACCTCGGATTTTATCTGTTTATACTTACTGGGATCTAACAGAAGTTGGACACCAATACTAACTCGTCTCCTCTCACCACCCGATACACCTCGACTTTCAGCGTTTCCGACTTTTGTGTCTGACACATGACGCAACCCCAGTTCCGAGATGACCATATCGACCTAAAACACAACAAATCCTTTTCATGCTGATTGAGAAAAAAAATCCCATCAGATTCACGATTCAAAAAGGTGACATCAGAATATTACCAAAAACATTTTTGTACTTTCTTAAGAATGGCGTATTGGTGCATTTGTCCTATGGGTCTTTTTGTGTTTGTAATATTCTCTTGTCAATTTATCAAATATGAACGAATTAAGAAAAATAGAGGTCTTAAAATATAACATTGGTAAACCTATCCCGTATGCTATTTTTAAAGTCTGCAGTCGGAGTAGGAGCCACATTACCGTTGCTGACAACGAAGTAAGAAGACCTGGTCAATGGAGACTGGCAGCGAAAATACATTTGTATCCATTATTAATGATGAGATATAATGATTTGTCTTAAGAGTCTGCCGATTGATTAGTGTATACTAATAAGGGAGCTTATAGCTGGAGAAAAAGAATGTTCCATCTTTGTGGTTTGCCACAGAGCCCTAATACTAAATCCCAATAGACTAAACCTCCTCGTATTTGTACAGACCAAATACTACTAAAATATTTACAACCCTCCGAGACAAAGGATCAAGGGCGATTTCTCATCGCATTTTCTTGACGTCATAGCTGCTCTTTCCAACGGTCGCGACCTGATCCGGCGTTCCAGAGGTACATTAAACTCATGATTAATGCATAGTACAATAAACAATAATAACATAACCATGCAGACTGTGGTCACAGATTTGTTGCACTAGTCTAGTTGCACGTTGCTATCCCCGTCAAAATTCCTCCAGTAAAGGTATCTTTATGATATAGGTGGTAAAAAACTGTTGTTGATATTTTCATCATGGAGGAATGACAATTGGTTACTTGTCTCGCCATATTAGAATGATTTGAAATATCAAATTATTTTGTTTATTTTTTTCAACAAGCAGATTAATGTAACATTCAAATATCTTACCCTTTTTTCAACCTGCTTCATTGACATGGTGGTCGGCAATTTTAATTGAGCAACAAACATGAGTGTTTCTTTCACAGTTAAGTGTGCCAAAAGGCGGTCATCTTGTCTGACGTAAGCAGAACATGAGCGGATCATAGAGTTTGTGCGAGCCACGTCATTTAAATAAATCTCTCCTCTGACCTCCCCGCCATCATTCCTTCCTGCGAGCACATCCAGCAGACTAGTCTTCCCGCTCCCTGCAAGTATAGATCATTTTAATAATACAATCGAATTAACGTGAATATGCCGATATATATATATATATTTATCAGAATTTAAAATCTATCCTATCTATGAATAGCATATCAATGCTTCTAATTAGTCTAACCTAACGTCTAGTGTTTTATACAGAATTTTGTACATATCTGTATAACATATTGCGTTTTCAGAACTGATTGCTGCATTATGGAATTACTATCTTACAAAGAGACTAAAACCGTTAGTCACGCAATGCATCTTTTTTTTTATAAATCTCATATTATATATGTTTCCCATCAAGTTCAAATCTATTTTTAAAATTCATACAAGAAATAGAATGCATTAGTAATGAATTAACACAATACTAAAAATAAACACTACGTTTATATATGACATTAACCTATGTGAGAACATTAACCTATGTGATATAATTCAGCAATATCGTTCGAATGTGGATCTTACTGAACACGTGCTATATGTATCATTTACAAAGTGAACGTGGTAGTGACAAGTGATTCTAGAGTAATGATCGATGAGTTAAAAAACGAGACATAATATGTGAATTTCTTGACATTTAATCAAAACTCCGTAACTGAAGCTATAAGACCGCGATCATCAAAATTAATACTTTTGGACCCTTACTTTTTCTCACGTTTTGTTTTTGATACAGGAAGAGAGCTGCAATGTATCTTATGTTAAGTTTTATATCCCCTGATTCCTCTTGTTTCGTCGTAGAGTCTCCACAATAATGATTTGATTTGGAAGTCTATTGTTGTTCAGAAAGGAATTGCATTCGACAACATCAGAGATAGCATAACATAGCCTGAACGTGACCTGTTTCTATATTATCCCAATGTGACATTTGATATGCTGAAACAAATCAACAGGAAGAAGATTTTGACCAAGTTCGTATCCGTGGTAGTGTTAATTTATCTTTTTGTCTTTTAACATGACCGGATCTATTGACTAAACCTATGTCAGTAGGCGCCATATCCGTTCTACACGTACTTCCGGTAATGCTATTTTCCCCGTATTTATTGACAATGTATAACATGTAATGAAAGCGATTGCGGCAATTTCCGCGTGCAATCGTTTATCAATACTTTATGTCAACAAGACTTGCCTTCAAAATGGGCTATCATCTAAAAATATGTTTAATCGAAACTGGTTACTAGATAAAAGTAACTACTAAGTCCTTTGACGTAACATTTTGTTACATCGGCGACTCAGTATCACTTGCCCCCTCGTTATTTATTAGAAATGATCAATTTACCTATGAAGAAGAAATTGTTAATAATTTAGTGTTAAATACATAAACATGTTAAATCTCAACCAAGCTAATGCAGAGACGTACTAAATCAGACACATTTAGATATGATGAGCGATAACAAACACAGGCACCACACGTCCATATCAACAACAGTATGGCTGATACACCTCCATATCTAAGTACCTGACACATATGTACCTGTGTATCCATTTAAAGGTACGATAGATAGCATGCTTAATTATATTTAAATTGCACGTAGCCTTAGACGATCGTTTGCTGTATAAAGTGCACATAGATATATTAGCAATTTAGTGATATATGTACAAATTTACCTTGAACCTGTTATATTTATTTGTCAAATAAAAACACCAATCACTGCGATATCTGATTATGTGTCAATAATCACGAATAGCTACTAGTTTAAGTATAAAATCAATTATTATATCAGAATCAATGCCGTAATTTTTTTACCATGTTAACATAATCGATTTTTGTATCCAAACTCAAACAAATCATAAATTAATGTGTAATTGCGAATAATTAACCTGTGGGTAATCCTAAACATTGTCATGAACTGATTATTGCCAACATAAGAAAAACGTTTATCACACACATATATATACATATATATCTAAATCACCATGATATTACTGTGAAGGTCGTCTGTTCAAATGTTTGTATAAAAGAAATATTTTCACTTATATATGACTATGTATTTTTATTTTACAATTATAGATATATTTATTCTTTTCTGTAAAAAGTATCTATTGATACTAAATGAATACACAATCATGTAATTCTAAAATCTGAAATCTTATTTGTGGATTTTTAATTTTCTGTTTTGCATATTGCACGAAAACAATGATAGTTTCTACATTTGACGGTCTATATAAATTGGTATATATGTATATTTACTTATGAACAGTTATTTGTGCACAGAATTGCAGAATTGTTTATCAGTGGATGATAGACAAATTTGTGTATTTATGTACGTATCAATATTTGTAAACCAGGTGATAGTCGATAATTATTTGTGGGTATTTAGTGAGATGAATGATCATACTAATACATTTGTATGCCAGATCATATGGTTTATTTGCATGTCGGATAATTTGATCTATTTATAAAGAATTTCGTTATAAAATAATCACCCTGAAAGCAGGATATCCGGGTTTGTCGTGACACCAAACAAAAGTCTTTTCTTACACAACTAACATAGTGTTTTATACACTTGATCAATGTTTACTACGTATGTCATTATACATTAAAACATGCATATGCAGTTTAGAATGCATTCGAATTTGTTACCTGAACTTCCTAGGACAGCCAGCATCTTTCCGCTTGTTACCGAGAACGACACATTTTTTAGCACTGTTCTTGGTTCGGAATCATTTGTCCATTCCCATGGAAACTGGAGAGCGGACACCCGCTGCCAGATAGACATATTTTTGGGGTTAACTGTATAATTCAAATTCTCCACTCCTATGTCCACTGAGGGACGCTGATTAAAACTGAAGTCAATGGCATAAACATTGGCTTCCACATCAGCATCCTCAATCATAGAGGTTGAACCGCTGATGGCAGCCATGTTTAATATTCTAAAAGAACACAACTAGATCAACCGAATATAGGATGAAAAATCCACCTTGCTCAAGAATACTTCCGTTAACAGCTTGTCATAGCATCCTCCCCATACAAAAATTGGTCAGTATGACTCGGTGGGCTGAGTAGACGGTACACAACGGTAGTGATAGAGATGTTGATTTTGTCATTATCGTCTAGAACCCAGTGACCAAGTTATCATCGTCCGAGGTCCATTGGCGGGAGGCCCGGTCCTGTAAGATAGAAAGCTTTTAATCAGTATATATATATATAACAGGTAGTTACACTGCTGATAAACATCCGTTTGTTTAACAGTGAGAACGAGTACATCAACAAAGGTAGACAATCAGACAGACATGACCCGATACCAGAAGCATCATCTGTAAGTAATATTTTTGTTTTCGGTAAAATATCCTGACTGATTCAATTTATAAACTTGCATTACACTTTATTATCGAGCAACATATACATCAACAAAACCTTTATATCTGTATTTTGTAATGATGGGTAGTCTTTGACAGCTACTTATTTCGATTTAGATGTCGGTATATACCATACCATGGGTTGATAATTATTTATGTAACTATATGCACATTTGAAGAAGAATGTATAAGAATAAAATTATACAGTTAACAACGAATAAAAAAACAAGTACCCAAATGTAACTTATTTGGTTTGGTCCAAATCAAAACTTTATAAATACTTCATAGTAAAACCCATTATGTGTCCTGCATTGATGTCGCGTTTCTAGGAAAAATACTATAATGTTCCTGGTAAAAAATAAGTCATAAAGGAAGGAGCTAAATATGTCATTCTGTGTTCACCTGCAGATACATGACTATATAGATCGTTAATATTAGAAGACACCGAATTCCCTGATGTAAATCAGATAAAGACGGAAAGGTCTCTTGCTGACGTCTCTTCGCTTTAAAAAGAAACAATCAGTCAGAATGGATGTAAAATCGTGTTCACATGCATCCATAATGTTTTGCTGAATAAGTCAAATTGTAACAAGGAAAATGTACGTAGTACAGAAACTTTGACGGATATGCTAGACAACAATAATTATGTTTTTTTTTTTTTTTTTGTTATATAATTATCTTGATCAATATTTAGTTATGTGCTTTATCCCAACAGAAGTTTTACGTTGGTACATGTTGAAGAGGAATTGCCATATGTATTGATTAAGTATTAAGCCAAAGGTAAAAGTGATTCAGAGCCATACAATACTAATGTCTACCGATAGCTTATATAGAATTAGTTTAAATGTACCAATGTTCCTAGCGTTGGCTATATGCCATATCACATATCAATACTATTTACCATTTATTTGAATATTTTACAAGTTTTACTCAGACACATAATATTCCTGTAAAGTTTAACATTGATGGGGAAATGAACTTAAACAGTTCTGAAGCCAGTTCTAAAACACGCACTATTGGTTTAATACTCATCTAACATAGAATAATTGAGTTAATTGCTACTTGTCACCGCTAATGAGTCTACTCTATATGTATAATTCATGTACCAGTGTTTCAAGTATTGTGATAAAATATCATATGTTCTGGCACCGTAAACTTAGCAACAATAATGAGCGACAACTTGGCAAACTACATCTCTTTCTAAATATTACATCGTAATTCTCTTAACTAGCCTATTCCCAGAACAAACATTTCTTTAAGGAGAGTGACTATACACTTAAAATCATCTAATTTGACTCTAAATCAAGGTTGCTGCAAGTATGCCTCTTTAACTATCAAAACCTCACATTTTACCAATCATATCTATCCCATATGTACCTACATCTACCAATGGTACCAGCATTAACCCTCATCCTGGAACAGCCATACATACACAAAGAAAAAATCCATACATGTCACAAATAAGGTATGGTTACTAAAAAAACATTTTACAAATTGAGAAAAGAATCTATGAAACGATGTAACATCCTTAGTCAGTGCAATTTCTGTTTTACATGTACAAGTGAAGACAATTACAGCAGACACAAACATTAAATCAAAGTTTCTTTGTATTTGATGTGTGTACACGTCAAATTACTATTATGATAGGTCGTTGCCGTCTCCTAGGTAACATAGATCATTCAAGTAATTCTAGGTGTGTAGATCACTAGCTTTGGATATAACGTTGTGTCTATAGGGATACTGTGGTATGGTGTACGTATAAGTAGAAGACAGCCTTGTCTGGAAGGATGTGGCAATGCAATTAGAAGCACAGTCTTTCCATTCAGATGTGATGTTGGCCATTGCCATCATGATGGGACACTAGGGGCGGTTTATGGCACTCTACAGTCCACTACTGTGCGAATTCCTACCAAAATTCGCATGACACACAACTGTAAAAAACATAAGCCCAGATATAAACAATGTGACTAGTTGTCAGTTGATTCAATCCGACATAACAGAGGAGCCCACGCATTCAGCATCAGGAATCACGGTACTGTTCAGTTCAAATATACCACATATATAGTATACATACTCGTATCCAACAGTTCCGCAGATGGAAACTCATGGGAACAGCGAAACACTATCTGGATATACGCAAAAGCCATGGTTCAAAGAAACGTTCAGGGAATTGCAGACAATTATTTATGAATACTTCACGATACTGTATTGCATCACATTTATCGCAAAACCACTTAAAATTGATCTCTCGATAAATTTTCCAGATTCTATCTATTGAAATATTGGTCAGTCAACGTCGTTCAGACTAGCATCCATTAAGTAAAGCGGTGAGCCTACGATTCTAGGTCAGCATTTTCTTTATGTATGTTTATCACGATTTACACATCGCATCAGACATATAACTTTAGATATGACGTCTTACTACAATTTCATAATTATGCATCAGCAATTCTTTTGCTTGACAAATATAAAACCATGTGTAATATCATGCTGTATGTTTGTGGTGTGTCAAATAAGCCATTTATAATCTATTAACAGCCTAGTCAGAGGATTCATGGCTCATTTGCCAATCGATTCATCCTTTTCATAAGTAAAAAAATATTCAAAAACAAAAAAATCAATTGGATAATGGGCTATTGTTCTCTCAGGTACTGCATACATAGTGTATCATGCGAAGTCAGTTAATGTGTGTACCAGTTCTTTACTGAATGTGTAATACCAATTACCTGAGTATGAAATTCTATTATTTCCTGACTATAGATAATAAAAATGACGATTATAATTACTGATGCAAGTGTCAGCAAAGGAGATATATAGTCGATAGTCACCATATTTGTCTTAGATTAGAACTATTCACTAGATTTTAAATACTTGTCAGTGTCATCAACAACTGGTGAAGATATGTTAAATACTCCATTAATGATAGATAGATTTCATCATACCATCATAACTGATGTATCAGACTGCTATTCAACATTAAAAGGGTAGCGGTGTGAGATTTCCTTGTCTCATCTAGGACTAGGATGGAATATTCTTCTTTTATATCTGTTGCGTCACGTCAACAATGAGAAACATTGGAAGAACAATACATATTGGATGGCCGACAGGGTGAGAGAAAATAGTCATTCATCCCTTGTTGGAGAGATCAGGAATCTCAGCCCTCGAGTGAAGATATATCAGTTCCGAAGGGGTAAAAGGTTATATTTAATTATATGCAATTAATGGTTGCAGATACTTTTGCAATGGTAGTTATTACTTGGTAGGCATAACTAAGGATATTTGTGGACATCCCTGCATACAAAATACCCTCATACAAGTAAATGTAGCTTTCGATGTTTTTATCAGATGTAATGATACCTCATGTGAATTGTGCTGCCGTGTAAGGTGTCGGTACCTGAGTGGTTTTCTAATGCAAATGAATGTAATTAGAATCGATGCAAATGCATGCGATTCTCATATAATATTTCTTTAATGACATACCGTTGTATGTATACATATCATTATAAAAACAACTGTTTAAGTATACTACTTGATATGAAAGTGGTGTTACCATTTTAAAAAAAGATCTATACAATAACTGAACAATATTGATCAGGCAATGAGAACCAGGAGTATGATTTAATCACTGATATTAATGGGTATCCGAATGACATTTATATTAGGCTTATTGGTTGAGCTTCGTCAATTATTTAAAAATGAACCAGGATACCTATGTTTTACTAATACTATACATGGTTGCTCTGTGTCACATTGTCTGTTTGGCTTAATGTTGTAATTTAGATATATGTATTATAAACACGAGATTATTTCAAAATTGAAATCGATCTGATAATGAAATCAATATGGGCTATCAGATCCGATAAGCAACAGTAGCTAGGTTTGAACTTAAGTGTTATACTGTATAGTTTTTACATGGATAGAAACACAGACCGAGTAAACACTCCTTATTTATGATAAAAGTCGGTAGGAATAGGATGCCGCCTCCAATTATACAAGTTCAAATTTTTAAAGAAAATATAAATCCTATTTCGATACAAGTTTGACCCCGTTGTCATCTCCTGCCCACTTAAGCCTTCCGATTTAGTGCTACTTGTATTCCAAGGAACGAGTTAATGCCATATATAAGTTCCCTGAAGCTACTGTTGACATCACGCCTTTGCAATAGGTGATTTTATAGATACGTCTATTGTTATTACATTATCTCCGTTTTGTCAGAAAATTGTGGTCATTTGTGTTTCATGACTATGGTTGACAATCCCTGGTAATTGATATCTTTTCATATATTGATATGTAACCCGTTATAGAATTATGGTGACATAATATGACTGAGCGCAACTTATCGCTTTTCGTAGGCAGCAACTCATCAGAGCTCCATTGATAAAAAATGGGTTCCTTTTGTTTGCAGGGACATCGATGACTCAACCAAGTTTATCAGTCGAGATATCTTACCGTCGTCGTCATGGCTTCTCTACATACACATTGCACGTGATTTTGAGTCTGTTGTAATAATGTCATATGAGATAAAATTAGAAATTTGAATGACGTAAATGAGTTTACTCTGATA